GTTAATTTATGTATTTTTTCTCAAAGGAGATTATATAAAGTTATAACACTTATAAGATCCATATTATACTAAAAAAATATGAATTTTTTATAGTTCTTTCCTTATATATTACTATTAGAAACAGAAATAAAATATATTATATTTTTATGAAAAATACATATAATGAATAAGATGATGGTAAATTTTTTTGATATATATCATATTCAACAAAAATACATCAAATATAGAGCTAACTCATTTGTTGATGTTTATCAAGACATCCAAATAAAAAGAACTTAAATTAAAATTATTAAAGTGACACTTAAATCACTTAGAATTTATGAAAATTTAAAAGTTCAATAATATTTTAAAAATAATAAATTTATTATTAAACTATTTACTTTAATATATCTAAATAAAATAGGAATATTGAAAAAAATATTTATTAAAGAGATTTTGGCATAATTAAAACCTAGATGAATTGGATTTACATGCTTAAAATAATAATATATTATCTAATTGTGAAACACCTATAATTGAATGAAAATATGAAAAGGTGTTATGTAAAAAAAAAAATCAAAGTTGTGTAATTTTACCGTAATGCATTTAAACAGTAAAATAATATATAATTAATAAATATTAAAAAATTAAATAAAAAAAATAAAAATTAAATTTAAAAATTTATCTAAGAAGCAAAATATTTTTGAGAATTATTACCCGTCTCAGCTCTTTGAAAAATTTAACCAGTATCTTAAAGTGACGTGCACCACTTTACCCACGTAAATCATTGATTCTAAATTAATATGCTAAAGAAGTTTTTTTTTCTTCTAATTTTTAAATATTATAGTGTTAAATAAAAGCGTCATTATATTTATATTAATTATAAAAATAATTGTTATTTCATGATAGTTTTAACTGTTAGTATATAAAAATTATTAATGACACTAAATTTAGATTGACAAAATAATTATTCTGAATTATTTTACAAATATATTAAATAACTTGATTGAATTGAAGATAAAAGTGGAATTAAATACTAAAAGAAAAAATATTTTATTGTGTTGAGTTTAGTTATTTTTTTTATAGAAAATAGTTAAATTTGGCTAAATTTTAATTGAACTTAAATTAAATAAAAAATGAAAATGTGTTTTAAAATGTAAAATATTCATCATTATTCTTAACATTAATTAATTATTGATGTGAATTCACATATTCGTGGAGAAAAGAAAGATGTTAACTAATAATTTATTTTCTATAATCTATAATTATATATAATGAGATTTTTAAATTATTTTTTTGAGTTATAGAAAAAAAATTATAATTTAAAGAAAAAATAATTATTATAATTTATATATTCAAAAAAATAATAAATGTATGAAAGAAAAAAATTGATATATTTTAAAAATAAAGAGAGAATATAAAATAAAATTTTAAAAATAATAATTATACAGTTTTAGCGTTTGTATTTCCATTAATATTGAATATAACTCATATTTTCTTTTTCATAACTGTTTTAAGTATATATAATGAGAAATTTTATAGCATTTTTTGTGTTATTTAAGAAAAACAAATTACGTATAATTAGTGAAAAAATAATATAAAATTGAGAAATCTGATGTTCTCTAAATTATATAAAAGTGACTGTAATTCTCGTATTATGAATCAGTTTTATAAAATAGAATTAGATATTTAATAATTTTCAAAAATTACATTAAAAATTTGAAGGAAACAAAAATTATAACCAAATAAAATATAAAAAGGAAAATGTATTATAGAATGAATGAAGAAAGAGTGAGATGTTTTGAAAAGAGGAAGAGAAAAATAAATAATAAAATAAACTTTTAAAAATTAAAAGATGGACGCTCTAACATTTGATATTTTCACTACAACTATGTAAAAGTGAATTTTCTTTTTTATTATTTATATATTTTAAAAATTAATAAAAAATGATAAAAAATTACGATATAATATAACGAGTATAAATCGTACATGAATTCATCTAAAAATTAGATAGAAAAATAAATAAATGAAAATTTAATTTTTTTTAAAATAAATTAATAATATAAAATATGTATATTTTCCAAAAATTTTAACATCCGAATAAAATATGAATTATATATTTTTTAATATTATATATTACATGGAACTGTAATATTAATATTTAATTTTCTGACGAGGAAAAGTAGGGTGAAGAAAGGAGGCAAGAAAGAGCCAAAAGCAATACCCCAAATGCCCAGGTTGGCACTTCCATTTCTGTTACAATCACTTTCACTTTGTCATTGATTTTATTTATTTATTTTTTATTTTACATTTTTCTTTTACCCATCATCAATTTTTTGGAAGAGAAGATGAATGAGGAGAGAGACAAAAATGGAGTATCTCTATCATAACAGTTGTCATCATGCCATTGGAGGTGGGTCCAAATGCTCCAAAAATGGCTTCTAATTAAATAACACCTATAATATTAATAATAAATAAAGGTAAGGTAATTATAATGAATTATTTTAAATTTTGAATATAATAATTTTTTAATTTATATAATAAAAATAGTAATTAATAAATAAATAATTAAAAACTGTTCATATAACTAAATATATATATATATATATATATTTATAAAAATATATACAAAAATTTATATAAGGAAAAATTGTTAATATTTAAATAATTTAAAAAATAATATATATAATTAATATAATAATTAAATAATAATAATAATTATTAATATTTTATAATAATTGTAATGAATAGGTTAAATTAGATTCAGTCTTGAATTTAATATAATGTAGAAATAAAAATTAACTTATATTTTACTTGGATTAAATTGTCGATATTATTCAATCCAAGAACATTCCTACTTACACAATCACTTTTTTCTGAACCACTTCCACTCACTCCATCTAAAAATATAATAGTAATAATATATATATATATATATATATATATATATATATATTATAATATTAAAATAAGTTATTAAATTGATGTTATAAAGAACAGGACGTCAAAAATTATTTTTTGTAGATATAAAATTTCATCACTAAAAAAACAATAACAACAAAATTAATATTAATAAATAGAATAATAATAAAAAAAATCCCTTGTAGTAATCTAATCCAATGCTTTAAAACTGAAGAAAGTTAAACCGGTTTTGAAACTCCGTTTATTAATCCTGAAAAACTAAATTTTAAGTAAATTAGTATAAATTAAAAAATGTTCAAAATTAAATTATTTAAATTGAACCGATTTTGATAAAAAATTTAAAATATAACTTTTTTATTTTTTTAAAAGATATAACATTTTCTTTATTTTGTATCTTACACAAATTATAACAACTTCAAGTAATAATCATTTTACATATTTGTTTTATAACTACAAATCTTTTATTTTTTATTATTTATTTTATTTGTAATTTCGTGATGACCATATTAACAAATTTCAATATTATTATAAAATTTTTTAAAATTAATATTATTAATAAATTTATTATATTTATTGAATTATAGTTAAAATTCTTTAAATATATATAATTAAATTTATCCTCCTTCTAAAAAAAGTATAATAAATGAATTTCTCATTTACATACAAAATTTATTGTATAAATTTTATATATTTTTATTTTATGATTTATATGTAAATTAAATTTAACATATACATTTATTTTTCATTTTTTTAATAAAATCTTTAAAAAGTTTCTCTAAATAAATGTAAATATTGTACGATAGCGTTGTTAAATTCTATTCTTTTATAATTGACATTTAGTAAATTAAAAAAATCGTTACTCTTAGTAAATAAAAGTCTTTTTTTTAAGCATTTATACACGGTGTTTCTTCATTGCTTAAATAAAACAGTTTTGAAATTTATTTTGATGATGCTGATCTCTAAAATAATAGTCTTGAACTATCAATTAATTTATACTGGTTAAATTTAAATAATAAATAATAGTAAATAATTTATGCAATAAATGTATTAATAATAATAAATTACTCTTATTTTTATAATAATTAATCATATCAAACTTATATCAATAATAATTATTTATTTTGTAACTTTCATAATCAAATATCTTTGTTCAAAGAAAACAAACCATAACCATTTCCTTTAATCAATGTTGGTAAATATCTTATCCATTTTAGGGAGACTCCAAAGTTTTTTACAAAAAAATAGTTTATTTGAATTAACTAAGAAACTGAATATCGTTTTAATCATACTTAAAATATAATCATATCTTCTTCTTACCAAAACATTGAACATAATTAGTTATGTCATTTCTTAATAATGGATTTTGCGACATTCAAACATTTTTCACAGATTCAACTAAATTGTCAACTGAATCACTTTAAATAGACATGATTTTTATTCATACAAAAAAATCATAAGTTTTAGCGTGTTATCATTTTTTAATAAATTTCAATGAGAAAACACGTGTGAGAAAACAGTTTATTCATATTTTTTAATTACATTTTTTTTTTTACATGGAAATGAAAGTCAATTATTAATAATAAATGGTGAAAAAACAACGACGATAAAAAAAAATGGTGAAAAGTATTAAAAGTGACAAAAATGGGTAACGCCTCCTTCATTGAGGTGGTGAAATTCAGAGATTTCACATTCACTGGCGAAGAAGGGTTTCTGGTCACACAGCACCTACAACAACACAAACCCGTGTCTCTTTCTTTCTTCTTCAACAGTGTTGTGTTGTTCTTTTTCTCTCTCTTTTATATATTTTATTATTCGCTTGTTTTTATTTACCCGAAAAACCAAACCTGTGATTTCCGAACACGAAAATCGCCGTCTTTGAATCACCCATTTTCTCTCTCGCGGAGGGTTCTTCACGGGCGAGACCCAAATCGTGGAAGCCTCGGATTTGACCCTTCAATCGCTGAATCGAACTACCTTTCAGCGGTGGGGTCGTTTGGGGGTGGTTGAACGGGTTGGTGAGATGAGAAGAACTTGCATGTTTTGGGTTTGCAAAGAGTTATTATAAGAAGGAGTTGTTGCAGCAGAGCTTCTTCTTCTTAATGGCAGCGGAGCGCGTTTATGAAGCATGGAAAGGAAGTAATGTAATGTTCTTTCTCTGTTTTTTTATGTTCTTTTTATTTTTGCTTGTTCTTCGTGAATATAGCGTTTTATGTTTGATATATTAGATGGGTATGTGCTGGATTTGCTTTTGTGAGTTGGGAAGTGTGGTTGTTGGTCATTTATTTTTTGGTATTTTAAAAGGGGTTAGTAATTTTGCGCTTGGAATTCCTGCTGCCACTGCTGCTGTTGGTTGAAGGTGAGTGAGGAGAGGAAAAAAAAAAAAAATTAACTTTGGAGTGGCTTTCGAATTTAGGAGGTGTGTGTGTGTGTTGAGTTGGTGGAGTGAGGTTTTGTGTTTTGGGTAACATTGAATGGGCAGTTTCGTTAGGTTTGTCTTTGTAATCGTTGTTTGTGTGGGGAAGCTTGATTTTGTGTGTGTGAATCGGTGGGGCATTGATGATGGGTCATTGGAGGAGTCAGTTGAAACAAGAATTTAATGTGATTGGTCTTGGCTGGCTGCAGTTGGTTTTGTGCTTAGAGTTTTGTGTTTTTTTAGTGGGGGAGAGATGTGTGGAAACTGTGAAGCAATACTTCAGGCTCGTGTGGCTTATTTAAGGTTGAAGAAAAATGTTGAGTTTCGCAAGTTGCTTTGTTTAATAGGTAAATGAGAGATGAAGATATATAATTTGTGCCCCCTTTTTCTTGTTCATGATGATGGGTTTTGATTTCTAATTCTGTTCTTGATGTTGCTTGAATGTTGAAAGTGAGTTAAATTGAAGAGATAGAAAATTAACCTGGAAGTGTAATATTTTGAAATTTAGGAACAGGTGTGTGTCTGTTCATGCATAGTCGGTGGAGTGAGATTATTTGCTTTATGAGGGGTGGAACATTAAAAATGAGCTTTTTTGTCTTTTTTCTGTACGCCACTAGTCTTGTTTTTTTTGTGTGAGTAAACCTGACTTTGGAAGCAAACTGATGGAGCCTTGATAGTGGTTCATTGAGGAACCTAGTTGGAAGAATAATTTATTGTGATTGTTCAACTTTGTGCCGTCTCCCAGGTTAATGAATGGGCTGCAGCTTGTTTTCTACGTTGTATTTGTAATAGGGGAAAGATGTGTGAAGCGATGCATTAGCCTTGTGTTGTCTTAGGTTAATTTGAAGCGTTTTCCTCAACTAGTCGAGTTATTTTGTCTCATGGACAAATGAGTTTTAATTTGACAGTTTTCTTCTTGTCTTATTAAACTGTCTGCTCAATGTGGTGCATGTTCAGTTTTTGGTTTTATGAAATTCAGAAAGTTACGAAGTACCATGAACTTGAGCTTGTTTGTGATCAATTTTCTATATGCATATTGGGAAGTTAGTTTTCATATATAACAGAAATTGTGTTAGCTCTGATTGGATTACAATCACTGGATTGCTTGCTGTTATGTTGGATGGAATTCATGTCAATATATTTAATCTGTTTTTGTGCTTGAGATAGTGCTAGCTCCTATCTTTTTGGAAATAAATATTACTGCAGAAGCTAACAATTTTAGCTCCATGAAAAACCAAAATCCTTGGGGTGACTTTCTCTGAGCAGCCTCAATTCACTTGTCGGGTCTTGGTGTCCTGTTCAGAATCTCAAATCCATGGTTTGGGATAAATCAACAAGAGATAGGATTTTGCTCAAACCATGGTTTTGGACTTTCCTGGGAGAATTTCAAACATTTTTCATTGGCTTTCTAAAAATCCAGTTTAACTTACCTTTTATGTCAACCACCAACACGTTTGCCAAAGCATCAGCTTCCAACAGTGAACAGTGATTAAGCCATCAGTTTCTTTTGCATTGTGGGAGAGTAATTAACAATGGTTATGATGGGATCTTATGATATAAGTGAAATAGTAAGTAACAATTGGCAGTTATGATACAAGTTAGGAGCTGTAATCTATTATTTGAGAATATGTGAAAGACAATAACTTTTCCTTTATTAGTTGTTCAGAGTTGGTTCTGTATTCAAATTAGAAACTTCCTTGATGACTGTCATTCATAATAAATAACTGATGTTAGTTATGTATTGTGGTATATTTAGGGTGTGTAATATAGAGGAGGGTGTTGTTATTAGCAGTTTGTGGATAGAGAATATTCTCTAGGAAACCTTTGTCTCTGGACAGCAATTATATTGCTGTATTGTGTGATTTCAGTATTTTAGAATCATATTTTATTAATTTATCAATGGTGTTCTATCAGATTGATCCACATGCTATATTGTACTTTTTCTCATCGCATTTGTTCTATGCTTGTATTTTTTTTGGGCTTGGCCTAATGTGATCCAACCTGAAAAGCTTATGGTACCGAACCAGGAATTTTGATGGATAATAGAGGTGGGTGTAGAATGACTATACCTATAGGCTCCGGACTGGTAGCCACATTTCATACAGAAGCGTCCCTACACCTTAAATTGTTATGATTGACAAGAGAGAGTTATCCTTAATTCTTAAGTTTTGGGGTAAATTTGCTAATACAGTGGCCACCACAGAAGTCCACTTTTACAAGACCTTTCATTGGTTTTTCTTTATAATTAACGCTCTTTTGATTATTGTTATTATTAATTGTAGTTGTAGCTGGATAAGTTGTAATTTTGTAATATTTTTTAGATGGCTCCTTGTAACACATTCTCTAATGCAAAAACCCTTTGGGCTTGAAGCACTGACAAAACACTGACCCACATTTCCTCATACTGAAATTTAATTTAATTATGGAGAATATGGGCATCCAGTATTGCATGTTGATGACTTTGACAGAGACTTTCCATACCATGTTAAGGACGAGGGGCCAACTCTCCCACAGGCTTAAGCTATTAGGTGGAGGCCAAGGAATGATATAAATCTCTAATAGGAGAATAGGTAAGAGACTAAAAGTAGAGTTTACAGCAAAACGCTTCAGTTAAGTTTGAATCCAATTCCAAATCCTTCTTGTTAATGAAAAGAGCACGCAATTGAGCCAACTGATGTAAAGATTTTAGTTCCAAAGCTTCATGTAATCAGATAGCAATATAGAGATGCTAAATGATAAAGAGATATCATGCAAATACTTGAGAAAACTTATTTAGGGTTTGATACAATGACCAAAGGTACTGATACATTGTATTTATGGAAAAAGAGATACAATAGAGAGGATATGGGTCTCAGTTCAAACTTTTAACCCTAGTCTAAGGAACATACAAAAAGAATACAAAAAGATATATGAACAACAGATCTCAACACTCCTCCTCAAGCTAGAGCATATGGATTTTATGCACCAAGCTTGGAACAAGTGAATTGAATCCTAGGTCCTCTTAAGGATTTAGTTAAAATATCTGCCAGTTGCTCATTGGAGCTTACAAATTCAGTTACAAGTTCCTTAGACAATAACTTCTCTCTAGCAAAATGACAATCAATCTCAATATGCTTTGTTCTTTCATGAAAGACTGGGTTGGAGGCAATATGGAGAGTTGTCTGATTATCACACAATAACTTCATCTGCCCAATATCACAAAATTTTAAATCTTGAAGGAAAGTTCACATGTAGCAAGTGCCATAGATCTATACTCAGCTTCTGCACTAGATCAAGCAACATCACTTTGCTTTTTACTTTTCCAAGAAATCAAATTTCCTCCAACAAATCAACACAAGGATTTTGCATGAATTGGTTAACTATTCCAACTGCATAAGAAAGATCCGGTCTGGTAATAGTAGTTTACCAACTAACCTCCTATATCTTTTTGGACTTGACAACTTTTCTCCTTCATCCTTCATCAATTTTTGGTTAGGGTCCATTGGGGTATCAATGGGCTTACAATTTGTTAGACCAGTCTTCTTCAAAATATCAAGAACATACTTCCTTTGAGAAATGATCACACCTTCCTTTGATTGGGCTACTTCAATACCAAGAAAATATTTCAATTGACCAAGATCTTTGGTTTGGAAGTGAGCAAACAAATGATTCTTCAGTTGGCTAATCTTAGTATAATCATTGCCTGTAATAACAATATCATCAACATAAACCATAAGATACACACATTTGCCTGAAGAGGAATGATAATAAAATACTTAGTGGTCTGATTCACTCCTTTTCATGCCAAACAACTGCACAAAATGAGAGAATTTTTCAAATCAAGCTTGGGGTGACTGCTTCAAGCCATAAAGAGATCGAAGTAGCTTACACACTAAACAAGACTCCCCCTTGAGCAACAAAGCCAGGAGATTGCTCCATATAAATCTCTTCCTCAAGATCACCGTGAAGAAATGCATTTTTAATGTCCAGTTGGTGGAGGGGCCAATGACGAATAATAACCATAACAAGGAATAGACGAATAGTGGAAATCTTAGTTACTGGAGAGAAGGTATTACAGTAGTCAAGGCCATAAATTTGAGTGAAGCCTTTAGTTATTAAATGAGCTTTAAGACGATCCACTTTACCATTATTATCAACTTTAACTGCATAGACCCACAACCTTTTTGCCAGGAGGAAGAGGGACAAACTCCCAAGTGTCATTGTGCTCAAGGATCTGCATTTCATTAATAATGACTTGTCGCCATCTAGGGTGATCAAGTGCGTCATGAACATTATTAGGAATAGACGTATAAGCCAAAGAGACAACAAAAGAAGAATATGAAGGAGACAAATGATGGTAACTTAAAAAATTATGAATAAGATAGGGATTTCGAGTGGAACGAGTACCTTTGCTAAGTGCAATAGGCTAGCCAGAATCAGAAGTGGGAGATAAGGTGAAAGGATCCATGGTATGAGAAGCTGATGGAGACGGATTTGAATCACAATTATTTGTAGGAACTGACTGGTAAAGGTGTAGGAGGGGTCTTGCTGTGATATGTGAGAAGAGGAGGAGTATCATTATGACTTGTAGACTGAATTGGGGAAGGATCAGGTATTATAAGTGGATTACATGAAGGTATGAACAATACTTGCTGAATTGATGAACCATCTTCCATGGGGGAAGAAAAGAAGGGTGTTTCCTCAAAGAAGGTGACATCAGTAGACATATAATACCTTTTGGAAGATGGAGAATAACATTTATACCCTTTCTGAAGACGAGAGTACCCCAGGAAAACACATGTAATGGTCTTATCAAGACCTGAAGATACATTATGAACAAAACAAGTACAACCAAATACACGAGAAGATACATGGAAAAGAGGATCATCTCTGAAGATAAGAGAATGTGAGATTTGATTTTTAAGAGAGGAAGATGACATCCGATTAATAAAAGAACAAGTAGTGAGAACTGCATCTTCCCAATGATGAACAGGGACATTAGCATTCAACATTAGATAGTGTGCAGTCTCAATAAGGTGTTTATTTTTTCCTTTCTGCAATGTCATTTTGCTGTGGGGTGTGAGGACAAGTTGATTGATGTAAAATTCCTTGGGAAAATAAAAAAGAAGAGAATGAGGCAGAGAAATATTGGCATTATCACTTTTGAGAACTTTAATTATCTTCCCAAATTGATTTTTAGTTTCATTGAAAAAAGACACAAAAATTGGTAAAAGTTTAGATTTGTCTTTCGTTAAATAAATCCAAGTACATCTAAAAAAATTCATCAATAAATGTCACAAAATACTGAAAGCCAAAAGAGGAAACACGACTCGGTCCCTAAATATCAAAATGAATATTTGAAAAAGGAAATTACATCGAGTTTCAGATTGTTTAGGAAAAGTAGACCTAACATGTTTTCCTAATTGACAAGATTTACACTCTAAAACTCGAAGATGTTGAAGATTAGGAGCCATCACTTTCAACTTAGATAGACTTGGGTGACCTAAACAATCATGCAAAAGTTTAGGGGCAGGAGAAACCAGACAAGACACCGAAGGACTTGGTTTTAGATAATACAGACCACGTGATTCATGTCCTTCTCCAATCAGATGACCCGTACCATGTTCTTGAATAACAAAAGAATTGGAAGTAAAGGTTACAGAATAATTCAAAGAACGAGTAAGTTGACTTTGAGAGATCAAGTTATAAGGGCAATTAGGAATGAAAAGAACAAAATTTAAATTTAGAGATGGGGTTAAAGGAACTTGGCCAACTCCTTGAGATTTCAGTTTAGATCCATTAGCTACAGTGATTAAGTGAGGAATTTTAGGATAGGACATGAAGGAAAATGAGAAACTATTACTAAATATATGATCAGAGGCACCCGAATTAAGAATCCATGGGTTCTGACCTTCCACAGATTGAGAAATGTATGCAGTTGAAACACTTGACATTGAAGAGGATTGACCCTGACTGCTAAACTTTCCAGATTTGAACTTCAAAAACTCCTGATACTCCTCATAAGAAATCTTCATATCTGGCTTATCCGATTTAGATGCATGAGCAGTCTTGTTAGGAAAACCATGCAAGGAATAATAATTTTCCTGCTGTGTCCCATCCTCTTATAATAGGAGTATTGAGGACGAATTTTCGTACTACCACGTTCTCCTCGACTGTTGCATCATCCTCTTCGACCACGAGGAGCAATCATTGCAGAAGTTTCAACAAATTCCACCTAATTCTCATCTTCCATGAGATTAGGAACCCAAATCAACCTAGTGACAATTATCTATTGATGGAACTTGATCGTTAGCTAGGATTTGATCACGCACGTGATCAAAATCGAATGCAGACTTTACAAAATTAGAACCATATATAGCATATCGAGTTTGGTGTTTAACTCATCTAAGGTATTTGCTACAAGAAACCTTTTTAATTCTTCCACAACAACCCTAGCTTTTGCGATGTGAGCCATCATGTCGTGATTGGTCTGCTTAAGAGATGTCACTCTTTGAGTTGCATCAAAGAGACGTTGAATATCATTAGCAAAAATGTCTTGAGACTTTTTCCAAAAGGAAGAACAGGTTTTGGATGACCTGAGAAGCTCAAGAACTTTCAGTTCCACAGACTGCCATAAGATTGCACAAAGTTGGAAGTCTATTTTCTCCCACTGAGACCTTTCTGCAGCGGGAATAAAGTCTACATCCTTCTCCAAATGGTCGTGATGCCCTTGACCAAGAAACCACAACTCAACTGATGCAGACCAGGATTAACAATTTTTCCAGTTGAGTCTGGCAGTAGTTATGGTGGGAGTAGCAGAGAAGGTGAACACAGTGGATGAGGCCATTTGAACCAGAAAAGACAAATAACTACGAGACCTTTCACACACAATTCTCAAACCAGAAAACTAAGGGTATCACTGGACTCGGAGGACGCCGACAAGTCGAACGGAGGTGATCAGCCTTGATTCTGGCCACTGAAAGGCAACACGTGGGACACACATGCTTGAGAAGGCTTTTCGGGATGACCACACGTGATGGCGTGTGGGGCAGTTGACTGAGGAGCAACTTGCAGGGGTGGATCGCGCTCCTCAAGGCGCACAAAACCCCTTCTTCGCCGGTCCAAATGGAGACGGTTACCGGCAGTGACGACAGCGAACGGTGGCCCATGGTGGCCGAAGATGACAGAGGTGACCGGAAATCAGTGCGGGATCTTACCCGCTCTGATACCAAGTTGAGAAAACCTATTTAGGGTTTGATACAATGACCAAAGACATTGATACATTGCATTTATAGAAAAAGAGATACAATAGAGAGGATATGAGCCTCAACCCAAACTCTTAACCCTAGTCTAAGGAACATACAAAAAGAATACAAAAAGATACATGAACAACAAATCTCAACACAAACAAAATAAGATAACCCCCGTATAGTTTAAGTCATCCAATACTCCATTAGGAGATCATAATATTGTCTCCCAATTATTGTATTTTAAATCTTCTATTTTCCCAGCCTAGTATTGTCATTCATTACTAGAGGGACATATTCAATGCCAGGGTATAGGTTCTTTAAGAGAGATAGATCAAAGTTCAAATGTGTAGCTTTACCCAAATTTTCCTCTCAAGAATATAGAGATTTTGGAAGTACATTTTTCAAAGGCTAACATCAAGGCTAACAAAGATTCTCTGTTGATGGATGATAGCACTTGTAGCCTGGAGTAGAATAGCCAATTAAAATACATTTAAGAACTTGAGGATCTAATTTACTTCAATGATGGATGAGAGTGTATATAGAAGAGACAAGAACTAAGATGAGAAGTAGGAAAAATTGCTGAAATCATGAGGTGATATGATTATGAACGAAAACACTTAGTTCAATTGTGCAGAAAACAGTTAACCTAATTTGTCCCATTATTAGTGTACAGAGTTTGAATCTGTGTATGAAATTGTGTTTGAATCATTGAATGAAAATTAATAAACAGATAAAGGGCATCTATTGTATATTTAAACTGATTAAGTGTGATCTTCAAGAAATCTAACACACCACTTTTATGAACAGAAGTAAGAGAAGGACCCTGTAAATTCTTTTATGAAGAAAATAACAAAATGACAAAATAACAAAATTTCCCTCTTGATTAAGAATGTTTAATGAAAAATAATATTTGTATGCTTTTGCTGAAGTTTTTGTTTGCCTAGAAAAAATGCATCTAATAATTTTGAAGTATACCGTAGAATAATCAATTTTCTAATTGTAGAATCAATTTTAGACATTTTTCTAATTTTATTTTGTTTCCTTATTTAATCAGGGTAAATTGAATTAATTTCAACAATAAGTGTATGAGAGTCTTACCATGTGGTTTTGGCCTAACTCAGCAGTCAGCCTCAAAAGCTGTGTAATAGGATGAGAGTTGTGCACCCATTTATATAAACGGTTTAGGTACTATCTTTAGTCAATGTTGGATTTTGTTTTTTCTTAGTACAGCCCTCATGCCTAACACTATTAGGCTTGTTGTCGATAATATAATAGGTGGTACAATAAATGATCTAAGATAAACTCTAATATAAATTGAGATTGGATGTTTGGACCTTGGGTTTTTCCTGATGCTGAGTAGTAATGTTATTCTTCAGACATGAAGCATTTTAGTAAATTTGTTTGTGCTGGATAATTTCAGTAGTGGTATTATGTAATTAACTATATTCAGTTGCATATTAAAATGAAATTTTACATACTTTCTCCTAATCTTATGCAGAAATTCCTATTTGGAGGAAGGTTGATATTTGGACCTGATGCTAGGTCACTGATTGTCACCTTGTTGCTGATCATTGTTCCAGTTATCGTCTTTTGTGTATTTGTAGCAAGGCATCTTCGGCATGAATTTTCTTCATATAATGCAGGATATGCTATTTTGGTGATGGCAGTTCTCTTTAATATTTATGTAAGTTTTATTAAGTTTTTCTGTTTGTCATTTTGATTTTTTAAAATTGCTTACCTGTGATTTGTGTTAAGCCACATGTTTCAAATTTAAAATAGGTTATTTCTTTATACAGAACTTACTGTCTACTGGCTCATCAAAATATTCCTCTTGGTTGGTTCTCCATTCATATGTCCCTTTATTTTACTTCCTCTCATAAGTAGTCTATTATTTGTTGAGAACATAATTTGTTGAAAGAATTTTTAAAAGAATTGTCGGTTCATTGCTGCTGTGAAACCTAAATAGTGGTGTGTAGTACCTGGTTCAAGTCCTAGCTAGTGAGGGATGGATGGATACAATGCCAAAGATTTGTATACAGGATAACTATTTATTCCACACAAATAAATGCTCAAAACTAAAATAAATAAAATAAAATAAAGCACTAAAATCAAAGACATTCTTCATAAGTGAAATCATGGTTTACATACATGATCATCAAACAAAGTTGAAGAATGGGAGAAAATTGATTCAATTTTGAATTTCGCTGTGACAATATGTGAAACCCAATATATGTAGGGGTGTTCATGGGTTGGTTTGGGTTAGATTTGACCAAACCCATGACCAAATTCAATAAAAAAATATTGGGTTGGATTGAGGTTTTGCATATTTTTGTTAAACTCAATCCAACCTAATGGGATTGGTTTTGGTCATAAGTTTTTATTTTTTTAATTTAAAAAAATAATTGTATTATTTAATAACTTAATGTTTCAAAAAATATATTTAATTAATATAATAATTGAGAAAATTAAATAATAATTATATTACTATTATTATTAACATTAATATTATTGAGTAATTTTAATGAGTGAGTTGAATTTAGAGATGACAAAATGGGTTAGGTTCGATTGGTCCGTCAGACCATTTTGGCCTGTTTTAAAAATATTTATATATTTAAATAAAAATAAAAAGGACTATAATTAAAATTATTATATTTTTTATGTCTTGTTATTGAAATATGTAAATATGTTATAATATTATAATTTAAATTATAAATATCAATTAATTAAATTTAAATTATTGATTATAATTAGTTATTTTAACAAACAAATATAGTAATTTTTTCAATTTATTTAATAAACATATTAATTAATAAATAAAAACTTCAAAAATTATTCATATAATTAAAGATATATTTTTAAAAAAATACACATAATTTTTTTTTATATATAATAAAAATTTTGGGGTTGGTATGCTAACCCGTCAGCCCACCCTTTGTGAGACAAGCTAGTGTTTGTAATCCGTCTTGATTATTATGGGCCAGCCTGTTCCGTTCTGTTTTTTTACAGAGGTGGGATGGACCAAAACAGGACGGACAAACCCATTTTGCCATCTCTAGTTGGATTGAGTATCGAGTTGAATATGCAAAATCTACCACCCAAGTCGTAGAAGATCGGGTTGGGTCAAGTTTGATCTGATCACAAATAAAACCCAACTCAATCTACTTGAGTTGGATTGGGTTGTTAGGTTACCAACCCTATGAACAATCTTAAATATATTGGACACTCCTAGGTAATTCAAGACTGGCAACCCTTTTTGGAAAAAAACTCGATAATTTTGTTAATAATATTCATCGCCTTTATGATGTTGCCCATAGATTGGGCTCTCTAACAAACAGATCACAACATGGTATTCTTCATTATTGAAGCTCAATCCATTGTTGAAAAATTAAAAATGTTCTTGAAAGTTGATTCATTGGAAGAGATTAAGAATAAGTTGGATAATTCTAGATGGTTAGGATTCTTCATGCCATACTACCCCATTTTGATAATGTCTAGGATCAAATTCTTATTGGTCAAGAAATTCCAACAATTGAGCATATGACATAATGACTACATTGTTCCCACACTTGAAGACATTAATCTTCAATATTCTATCGACTCATTCACTATGATATCTACTCGAGGAAGGGGAGAGCACGACAATAGATGAAGACACATTGGTTGTGGATGTCCTCAATGCTCTTATTGTTAGAGAACTAAAGAGAATCTTTACATGGTTTCCCTTACAAAATAGCAAACATCTAGTTAAACCAAGATTCTCTAATGAGGAATATCAAGAATATGTTAGGTTAAAGTTCAACAGTCAATCTTCCACTAGGCTAGTTTATCAACAACTTGCATTTCTCAAACTAGTGAGAATCAAAGTCCATGCATAATTGATTCAAGTGTTTCATATCACATTTCAAGCAATGCTTCCTTATTTTCTTCCATTTCTCCTAGAGGTCCTCATTTTATTATATTTGCTAGTGGGTCCAAAGATACTTCCTAGGGAGTTGGTCAAATCTCCTTTTCTCCCTTCTTAACCCTAAAGTTTTTCTCTTTATCCTTACGTACCATTTTAACACACTTTCTCTAAATTAATTAACTAATTTTTCGATTGTTCAATAACCTTTGATTTCAATTCTTCTTATATATAAGAGCATGGTAGGAGTTGATTGATTGATGTAGGATATGAATTTAGAGGACTATATATGGTTACTAACATGTTTACTTCTATTGTTGCTAATTTATTTGAGTTCAAGGCACTACATGCTCTATGTTTGAAGGATTTGTGAATCCAAACTTCTTATATTAAAACCTTCTAAGGTCCCTTGGAATTGGACCATCTATGTCCTCTCTTAAATTATTGCATGATAGCTTGGATCATCCACACTTATCAAAATTAAAAAGGATGGCTCATGAGCTTAGAAAATTTCAAAGTCTTAGATTGTAAGTCATATCAACCAGGAAAACATGTTAGATCTTCTTTTCTGGAATGCACTGAAACAAGATGTAACTTTGTTTTCTCAACAATTCATTATGAGGTCTAAGCCAGGTCATATCTTATGGATTTTGATATTGTCACATTTATTGATGAATAATCTCGTGCTTGTGTTTATTTAATGAAAGATCAAATTGAACTTTTGAATATATTTTTGTCTTTTCTTAACGAAATATAAAATCGGCTTAGATAGTGATCAAGATCTTTGAGGAGTGGTAATGCCAAATAATAATTTTCTTTTGGCTTTTCTATTCTTTCAAATTCACATGACATTTTATATTAGTTCACATGTATCCATACATGTCAACAAAATGGTAAACAAAGAAAATAAATAAATAGACACTTAGTTAAAACTAGGGTTGTCAAAATAGGTTGCCTAGCCCATTTTGGCAATGTCTTGATGAGCCATGAAAAAAAAAAAAATGAATAGTCCAACCTAGTCTTATTTTGAAGTGGGACATAATATTTTACCTAGCCTAGCTTATGTTAGGCCAACGAGCCAATTTTGGTTTTTTTTTTTTTTTTTTTTTAAAAGATTAAACATGTTTACTTAAAAAAAATTATCTAAAAAATTAATAAAAAATTAAAAAATGCATTTTTAAAATTAAGTTAAATTAAGACATCTCTAATGGTAAAAAATTATGCGTTTCTTTTGATGCATAGAAAATTGTGTTTTGTGATACTTAAGTTGCCATGTAATAGTTAAGAAATTTTATCAAATTTTACATCCATGGTATGAAACTCTAAAATCTCTTCTAATATATCTTCCCCTTCCTCAAATCTGTACCCCTTCCACTATCGAGCGAGAAGAAGAATTAATATTTTATTCAAACAACAAATTCTAGTTGAAACAACTTTCATAATTTTTAAGCAACTTGTGGTATCACGTCACGTCTCTTCAATGCTAAAGTTGCTTGAAGCAACTCCAAGCAATTCTTTAACAAAAGATAAACATCTCCCATAAGAGATGCTCTTAATAAAATTATTTTTATTTTAAATATAATGAGTTGATATAAATTGTAAGAAAAAGGATCCATTTTCTTCGAGAGTAAAAGTTAGAGACTTACTCTTCATTCTCATTATTCATTTAACCTAATAGTCTAAAAAAGTAATTCATCTTAACAATTAGATTACTAGAAAATGAATGATAAAAATAAATGATAAATCTCTAATTCTTACTCTCCGAAGAAGTGAATCTTTTCTCAATTTAATTTATAATACATATATGCATTGTTGTAAAATAACACTATTTTTATTTTTATTTAAAAAATCATTATTATTTTATAAATGGGTCAACCATAAGCTTATGTGTTGGCCGAGTCTAAATCTATTTAGGTCACAAGCTAAGCTAAAATTGACCTGATTCAATTCAGGTTACAATTATTTTGATCCGACTTGACCTATTTATCGGGGGTTTTAGGTCGACACATTAGATCAAACCGGTTTTGACATCCCTAGTTAAAATTGCTTGAATGTATTGTTTGGTGTTAATATACTTGTCGATCACTTGGGAGATGTTATTCTTACTTCATGTTATCTTATGAATAAAATGCCCTCTTCACCTTTGGAAAATAAAGTTCCATTCCATTTTGTTTCCCAATGAACCTCTATTTAAGATTTCTTTGTGTTTTTTGTTGTGTGTTTTGTACATGATGTGTCTTCGAGATTGAGCAAGCTCTTGGCCCAAGCCATCAAATGTATCTTCCTAGGATATTCTCATTTTTAAGAATGGAATCGATGTTATTTTTTTGTTATTAGAAAATATTACATGCCTGCAAGTATCACATTTTTTTTTTCTCTTATTGCATACAAGATGTTACCTCTATTCAATAGGTCTTGCCTATGTCATTAGTTTAGTCCTTTGTGTCTTCAATTCCTAACAGTGTTCCAACTACCCCCATGTTCCTAGTTCCCCTCCTCATTCAAGTCCACCTAGATCATTATCACCCTTTATTATCACCTACAAACGTTGAACCCAAATAAATAGTTCAATGCCACTTGGTGAGTCTCCTTCATTGAGCCCTTTACTATCGTTGCTCCATACCACTATTCTTGATAATGAAGATTCTAGTTGGTCCATTGCTATTCAAAAGGGTACTCATTTTACGTGCAATTTTCATCCTATTTATACTTTTCTAAGCTATCATTAATTGGTTCATATTTTTTTTTATATCCTTTGTGTCTTCTTTTACCATTTCTCTAAATGTGAAAGTAACACCTAATCATTCTAGATAACAATAAGCAATCAATGCTAAATACCTTGAACATAATAGTATATAGGAATTATTTCCTCTTCCACTTGAAAAAAAAAGACTGATTGTTGTTATTGGGTGTATGCCATTAAGGTTGGGTCAAATAGTGAAGTTAATCATTTCAAAGTTAGATTGGTGACTATGGAAAATCTCACATCGACTAAAGATATGACCAAATTATAATATATAATTAAAGTGTAAACTTGACCTTACAAGCTTCTTTGTAAGGTTAAGTTAGACTAGAAATATGTTGGACTACTGAGCTTATTTTCCATTTCTAATATGATATCAGAGTTTATTCTCGCGATATTTGTTGGACTAGAGATATGACTAAACTATAATATTGAGGTGCAAACCTTACCTTATAAGCTAGTTTTGTGGATTTGAGTTAGATACTTCTTCATTTCTAATAGTGGTTAAAGAATGCACTCAAATGTATAACATTGATTAAATGATACATTTTCTCCTGAGGCTAAATAGTTATTGTCCTTTCTTTTTTTTTGTCATGGTAGCTAGTTGTCATTGTCTTTTCCCCCAATTGGATTTCAAGAATGTTTTTCTTCATGATAATTTAGAGGAGAAAATTTACAAGGAGCAACCACTTGGAATTATTGCTCAAGAGGAGTTTTGATTGATTTGTAAATTACATTGGCCTTTCTTTGGTCTTAAACAATCTCCATGCACTTGGTTACAAAGTTCAAATCTTTGGATTAAAACACAATAAAGCAGATCATTCTCATTTGTATTATCATATTTGTCCAAGAAAATGTGTTTACTTAATTGTGTATGTGGATGATATAGGTATGAGAGGGAATGATGCTAATAAAATTTTCCAAATAAAGAAGCATTTATGCAATCATTTTCAAATCAAAGATCTTTGGTACCTTAAATACTTTCTGTTAATTGAAGTGACTCGATCAAAAGATAAATATTGTTATCTCTCAAAGAAATATGCTTTCAAATATTATGGATGAAACAAGCATCATTGATTTTAGACAAGCGAATAGTCCTATGAGTCCAAATTAGAAATTGATGGCAGTGTAGATTGAACCTCGCTCAAACCTAGAAAGATATGGAGAACTTCTTGGGAAACTCATTAATAATACACTCATCTTTTGTTGTTGGAGAGGTTAGTTAATTTATGCATATTCTTTGTGTTGATCACCGAAATGCTATTATTTGCATTCTTAGATACCACAAGCAGGTTCTAAGGCAAGGATTCTTGCATGAAAATAAGGGACAAATCATATGTCTGAGTATTTTGGTGTTGATTGGACTGGACCTCCTATAATTAGAGGCAACGTTATTTCTTGAAAAATTTAGAAACAAAATGTGGTTGCTTGGTCTAGTGTTGAAGCCGAGTATAGAGTGATGACATCTTTCAATTGTGAACTTATATGAATTAAACAATTCCTCAAAAACTTAAGTTTTGTGAAATTCAGCAAATGAGAATGTATCTTGATTATTAGGCAACTTTTCACATTGCTTTTAATCTTGTATTTCATAGAAATTCACTCTCATTTTGTTTGAGAGGAGTTATTGAACAAGGAAACCTAAGAAACATTTGTCAGTTCGAATGATCAACTTGCAGTTATTTTAATTAAATCCTATAATGGATCTTGAGTTCAATTTATATGTTTCAAGCTGTATGCATACAATCTATATGCTCCAACTTGAGAAAAAGTCTTAGAATAGTTTTTTCTATTGGCTAACTTGTTAAGGTATGTTAACTTCTCTTCTCTAAAAGTTGTTTCTACTTGTTAGTTTCTAGCACCTGGGTATAGCTTTTGGCCTCTACACTCTTTGTAAGTCTGATAAACGTTTCCTCTAAATAAATGAATCAGCTAAGAGATAATTAATGTCTTAAGTTCTTTCTTCATATTTTCAGTCTTTAGATCCATTAAGAAAAGGCCATCTACCATGTTATCCATGCATCAAGTCTAATAAAAGTGGGTGAGAGCATGTATTGGGAAAAACCTTAGTCTCACTCACTAGAGAGATGGTCAAATTATAGTATATAAGTGGGGGACATCCCTCACTTAATAAACTAGTTTTGTAAGGTGTAGTTATGTCCAACTGCATATATTAGGAATTCTAAATGATAAATCAGTAAAGTATAAATGCCACTCTTTCTATGTCTTGTCAGCTATTTGGTTCTTTCTTTTGTTGTATATTTTATGTCCATCTTTTCTTTTTTCAAATTTTTCCTTAACAGTAGCTTATAAATTGAAGAAAAATAATATTTCATGGACAAAATAGTGTGATGAAAAGACAGTTTTGATATATAAAAGCGGCCATACAACTTACATTGTCAATGTAAGAATACAGGTGGGATATCTTGCACACATGGAACAATTTAAACAAAAATTGGAATAAATGGAAGAAAAGTAAGGTCAAGACACGCAAACCTAGATTCTTTATAAGGGTTGTTCCTTGAATTGAGTAAGACAACTCAATCCAACTCAAATAAATTATGGTAGGTTTTTTAATGATTGGATTAAACCCAATTTAACTCAATATCTTAGGGATTGAATGATGGGTTTTCTGTGTTGAATTAGACACTCAATCTAACCAAAATTATTCTATAATATTACTATTAATGATATAATAATAATGGTAATAGTAATATAATTATTATTTAATTTATTTAATTATTTTGTTAGCTAAATATGCATTTTTGAAATATTAAATTATTCAAATATTACATACATTTATTTTTTTTTAATGTTCTAAAGGAAGAAAAAAATGTTTTGAAATTACAAATTTTAACAAAAAAGTTGTTATAAAAAATTGTGACCTAATTAATTTAACCTAATCCAATGCGGTTAAGGATGAGTTGAGATGGATTGAATCTAACGAAAATGCAAAATCTTGATTAAACTCAACCTAGGATTTTTTTTATCATGTTAGGTGATGAATTGGACAAATCAAATGCAACTCGTGGACCCTCCTTATTCCCAGAAGTTAGATTCACAAGTTGATCATGCTTGAAAACCCATGTCTTATTTCATGGTAACCCTTGTCATCCTTTCTAACGCCAGTCTAAAGTATAAAATTCTTTCTTATTATTAGCATCACAATGGATGTAAGGATCCATAATTTATCTCATGGATCTCCCTATATTTCTTTTATGAGCCAATAGTGACATGTAGCTTCATTTAAGAATTCAATAAAGAACACTTCATCACACAAGGCTACCGCTGTTCAGGGGTTATAAATGAATACAAGTCCTTTAAATGTTTATTTTTGGATGCAATAAACAAATGGGTAAATGACAATAAGTGATTTTTCTTCAAATCCAAGTGATCTGTTAAGGCCTGGGATCCAATCAGAGGGGCATCGTAGTCAAATCCGCGATGCGGAATGTAAGATTGTATGAATCTATGATCTTCTTCCCCTTCTTTGAGTCAACATGTCATCTCATTGCGATTTTTAGGGATCGTGTGTCATCGTTGTTCAAGATTAAGACTTGTGTGGGCATGACTGTATTGTTGCATAGGTGGTGACATCTCTAACATGCAGTGTGGCGGTGAAGTCACATGAATGCAGCGGCTGCGTCATTGGGTGTGGCAGCAATGTCACACAGGTGCGTTAGCTGTGTCATGCGGGTGTGAATAGGCTAATGGATGTGTTGTGTGGTTGTTGCAGCTGTATGCAAACAAGATATTTGTGTCCTATTGTGTTTTTGATCAAACCTAACTATATTTTTACACACACCATGCAATGAACTAGGTTAAATCCTCCTCAAATAATCCATTTTTTATCCTTTAAAACCTAATATGTACTGCCAAAGTTTAATATTCTCTCACTTTGATTTTGTTCTCTCTTCGATTTTGATTTACGATTTATATTTCTCTTTCGATCTTGAGTAAGATCTTGATTTTGACTACTTTGGTAAGCGGATCAAATTGATTATGAAAACTTGTGTTTAATTAGTCAATTTATCTTAGATCAAGGAGAAACATTATGTAGAACTTGAATAAACTTAATTTAAAAGAACAATGGTGAATTACATTGGCTATAAATTAGATGGTATTCTATCTGTTTCCTTAATGGAAAAAAATTGTAATGATAGAGAGGTTCATATGCACACAATCTTATCAATCAATGATAGGATAAACAATTTATGGAGCATCTATTGAACACATTTTCTTTTCTTTTAAATTTTTCCAAGGTTGCAAGCTGTTTTGGTGATCGCATTTTCTTTCATTTAGCCATCATTCTTAGGGAAAACTCCTTGTTAAGATATTGGTTTTCTATAATATTTTCTGTTTAATATTTATGTTTATAGGTGTTGATTCTTCTCTTTCTTACTTCCTCACGTGATCCGGGTGTTATTCCAAGGAATTTACATCCTCCAGAAGAAGAGTTCCGATATGACACTTCAGTTTCAGTTGATATTGGGGGACGCCAAACTCCAAGCCTTCAGTTCCCTCGATCAAAAGAAGTTATGGTCAATGGCCATCCGGTGAGGGTGAAGTATTGTGATACTTGTATGCTGTATCGTCCTCCTCGATGTTCGCATTGCTCCATTTGCAACAATTGTGTTGAACGTTTTGATCACCATTGCCCTTGGGTGGGCCAATGTATTGGGCTGGTATGAAAGTTGGCATTCACCATGTTTTTGATGTTATGATAACTACTCCTACTCATATTGATGGTCTTGGCTTGTTTGGTTTCTCATAATTTATTTCTGGCTTTTCCAAATTGCAGAGAAACTACCGTTACTTCTTTCTGTTTGTTTCTTCGGCAACTATTCTATGTATCTATGTGTTTTCCATCTCAGCTTTTTACATTAAGGTTCTGATGGATCAATATCACGGGACAGTTTGGAGGGCAATGAAAGAATCCCCTGCATCAGTTATATTAATGGCATACTGCTTCATCTCTTTGTGGTTTGTTGGTGGACTTACTGGCTTTCATTTGTATCTTATTGGGTCCAATCAGGTCAGTTGATATCTTTTACATTTTTTATTATAGTACCTTGTTTATCTTCATTGTTCATTGTCCTAAAAAGAGTAAACTGGTTACTACGTGAAAATGCATTAGTAGAATTGTCCGCAGTGAAACCACACTCTAAAAAAATACTTTAGAATTGTCCCTCATACTTTTCCTTTCATCCAAACAAGTAGCAATCTTAAATCGCAAGTTGGTAATTCTGTATCTTCTTCCCTCAATCCAAAATACATTTTGTGTAAGCCTGATTCACTTGTACCAAGATATGAGAAGATCACCCCTCCTGTGGCTTGCCACAGTATGGAAGACAAATAATGTTTCTATATACACATTGCTGATAAATAATACGAATTTATTTTCTGTCTTTGATTCTTAGGAGCCCTTGCGTTGCAAGAATATCTTCATCATCTGGTTGATTGTACCTTGTTTTGCAGACTACCTATGAGAACTTCCGGTACAGAGCCGATAACAGGATCAATGTTTACAACCGGGGTTGTTTAAACAATTTCATGGAAGTATTTTGTACAAAGGTGAAGCCCTCAAGAAACAATTTTCGGGCTTTTGTTCAAGAGGAGGTACCGAGGCCACCCCCTCCTATCATTTCCCGGGAATCTGAACCCGATCAGGGTGGAGACCCTCGTTCTAAAGTTGAAGACGATCTAGACATCGGCGAAGACCTGTTAAAGATATCGCAGCGGCGGAATATCGAAGAAATCGACGAGGACATCCGGAGCAGAGGGAGCAATGGACCTCCCCATAACACATCTGAAGTTGATTCAGTTTTGGGTTCAGATCGCCGGGCCCCAACAATTCGAGCCGAAGCAAGGCACTCAAGTGAGGAAAGAAGTGAAAGCTGGGAAATTGCCTCTGAGGTCCTTGCCAATTCAAATGTTACTGAAAGTAGAGGCTATGCTGCATCAAAGGAGGTGCGCCAAAAACTTGGTGGCTCTTTCTGATGATATGTGGGGTTACATAGATGTTAAAAGATGGAAAAGGAAATGGTGTTTGGTCAGATTATAGGAATGGGAATTGAATTGATTGAGGCATCAAGTACAAAAACTTGTTTGATCTTTTTTGTGGTAAGCTTAGCTCTTTTGGGAAAGAATAGAAATGTGTGTGTAATTTTCGAGAGACAGAGGAATAGTATCTTCTTCTTCTTTTTTCCTTTTTCTTTGTTAATTTTTATCGTACAGTCCAACATGTGCATTGCATCTTTATGTGGCTTTATTCTTTGTGTAAATAACCAGTTGTGATGCTGAAAAATTTATCTACATACTGTGATTTAGGTCGTGTAAAACTGGTTCCTCTAACCTTGTTCTTTGTGGGTCCTTGGCTTAGCATGTCCCTCACATGCTTATCTTCCAAGACTTTCTTACTTGTTGAAATAAAATGGTTATACACACTTTAGTAATTTAAACCAAATACTTTTTCATTAAGCCTTTTAAGCTTTCATCTTTCATAAAGATAAACTAAAAACAGTGTTAAAACTTAACGGGTGAGCTTTTATATACACTAAAATCCGTTTTAATATTTTTATTTAGTGTATATAAAAAACATGTTACATTCAAACAATAAAAGTAATATTTTATTGAATGATTTATATACATTCTGGAATAATATATATATATATATATATATATATATATATATATTATTTTTTCTTCAAAAAATTTTATATCTTTAACATCGTCTATTTGTCTAATAAAAATGTCTTATACGTGCTTAGTGCATTTTAAATGTTAATAATATTTTAACACAAGACCTCTAGAATAAGTTTGATTGTGTTGTGTTAAAATGTTAATATTTTGCATAAATAAGAAGAGAAGAATTAATGGAGAAAAATAGGCTAGGCATTCACTCAAGGAAGATGCAGAAGTTAATATTTAATGTGCTAGGTTTCTAATTAGGTAAACAAGTTACGTTGAATTTGAATTGAGATGTTTAACCTTAAACTTGAATTTGAACTGTGAATTTTTTTCTTTTACATGTTTAAATTTAACTAATTTATTTAAAATGAACCTAAACTTATTTAATTAATTTATATATTTTTTACTTTTTTCTTTAATTATTTTAACTTCATCAATATGGCAACACATAATTTTATACTAATAAATTTTGAGAATGACTTCCAGTCAAGGTATTTAAATAATTAAGTCTAATATCAAGTATGATTTATTTATTTAATTAAACAAACAATAAATAAATATACTTAGATGAACAACTGCTATATTTTTCATATTGACTTCCTCCTTTAATTTTATAGGTGATAATAACAAATATCCTTAAACTTTATTCTTCAAAGGCTTACTTACTGAGTTGGTAGAGAAATTCAAAAGATCCTTAAAATTTGAAAATATTACTAATTTTTCTACATAATTCAGAAGGACTTGATTGGAAGATAATCAGTCTATACCTAAGATTATATTTAATTGAGATAGAGATAAACAAATTTTCTATTTTCAATGAATAGAGAACAATCTAGACAAATTTTATTGGTAATTACATACTTACTTGTGGGAGTTGGAACAATCAAACTAGTGTCTAAAAAAGAAGTTGGTAATTCAATGCGTTGAACACAATCATTGAAAATGAATGAATGAATTGTGCTTGAATCATGCAGTATATTTAAAATTTTACCTTTAAGGAAACATATACCTTAAATCAAATCATTATTTTAAGAGGTTTTAATTTTAGTCATGATGTATACTCTCTCTTTTGTTGGAGGTCTTGCTTTTGGTGTAGAAAGATTCAAATTTGGTTTTTGTTGTCGACATTTAGAGAGTATATGACTAGGTTTTTCACACTTGAAACAGAAATGTCCTTTTAAGATGACAATATTTAACATAATGATCTTGTCCATACTTAAAACACTTAAGCTGATTATTTACAAGTTTATTAGAATTTCTTTCAGAAATTGACTGGTTAAGATCTCCACCGGGGGTGGTTGTAGGACTTTCCTTCATTTTGTATCCTTTTATTTTGATGGGATTCAAAATATTTTGGTTTATTATTTGATGGTTTTCAAAATCCTCCAAAAATTTACACTTGTGAATAAGCGTAAGAAAATCAAACTCTCTAATATTCCCATTGCTTCTCAATTAAGACCTAAGTTCATTATCAAATTTATACATTTTGTTCTTTCACCTGGTGATAAAAGAACGTAGAGTATTTTTCAAGCTCTTCAAACTTAAAGGTATATTCTTTTATTGTCATACCTCATTGTTTCAATTGCATAAATTTTATTTCTTCTGCTCTCCTCACATCACTGGAAAAATATTTTTTTTAAATTTTTGTTTTAAATGCCTTCCAAGTAATAATTATTCTTCCTCCTTCTAGTAACCTCTTAGTACTATTCTACCGATATTCAACTTCTTTTATTAGCATAAATACAACTTAATTCACTTTTTGGTTGTTAGGATAATTTATAACTTCAATTTTTTTTTTTCAATTCTTTAATCCATAATTCAACTTTTTCTGGGTTATAACTTTCCAAAAATTGTGGAGATTTGTTTCTCTTAAATTCAATTAAACATTGTGATTCATTGATTCTTTTAGGTCTTTAGTTCTTTAATAATGCAACCACCATGTCTCTTATATCTTGTACCACTTTTGTTAACTCATTGTTCCTTTTAGCATTTATCATTTGGAATTATACAAGTTATGGTTCATAAGATTACATGATAGATTTGTTTCACAAGTCACACATGAAATGTGACTCTAATACTATCCAATGTGACATCTCTTTTTATCACATTGTTAATTTAAGTATATGTTAAGAGATGATTATTTTCCATTAAATTTTGATAAAAATAAAACATGAGATAAATATTTATATATTTATATGTATAAATATATGAACTTTACAATTTACAATGTTTCTATATCAGAAACAATTATTAAAATTGACAAATATTTATTTTTAAGTGGTTGATTTATCAATGATACTTGTCTCCCATCTTGATATTTTTATCTATTTAGGTTGATATTTTAGTTGTAATATGCACAAGAGATAACAATAGAGAGTGGTAACAATTATCATGTAAAATAATATAATCTCAAAATGAAATATAAAATTTACTTTTCAACTTGATCAACATATTCCATTTATTTTATATTATGAAGATTTGAATTGATTTTTGTAGTGACTAATAAGATAAATGAAGCCAAAATTAATCACTCTTTAAGTGATATTTACTCATTTCAAACCGCAAGGTCCAATCTTCATCTACAATGTCATCAAATATTCATAAATAAATACGATTATTTGAAAATAATTTAATAATATAATTATAAACTAATAAACAATGACCAAGTACATAAATGAAGATAAAATAAATAGAACTAGTGCGTGACTAAAGATAAATAAGATATGATCAAGTACGTAATCGAAAACAAATAAGATAGGACCAAGTACATAATCGAAGATAAATAAATAAATATAAAATAAGACTAGTGCTAAAGATAAATAAAATAAATACAAAACATTACCAATACATAACTCGAAGATAAAATAAATATAAAAGAATAAATAAAATAAGGTTAGAATCACCTCACTCAACAACCATCATTAAAAATAAAAGAGATAGAATGAAAATTTTCTCCTCCTCTATCTCAATATTTGCTAATGATACACTAAAATTTGTCTTTAAAGTTTGTTTTCTTTTTTTCTCTCTTTTTACTTTTTTTTCATCTTTTAATTAAATGCATGTTTATCTCTTAAAGAGACAAGCCTACTTACTTTTTTTTTAAATTAAGTTTTAATTATTTTTATTAATTAATTAATAACTAATTATTTTTTCTAGTATATATATATATATATTAATAATAACTTTTATTATTTTAAATAATAATTTAACAATAATTATTATTTTTTATCTTTTATTATAAAAATATTTGAATTACCCTTAATATATTATATTTAAAAAAATTTACATTTTGAGGGTTACATATGTCACACTAATTTTTTATAAGCAAAGTAAATTTATAAGAAGCTCGATCAAAGTACAAGGTGTATTTAAAAACAATCTTAAAAAGTTACAAAAGGTCAAACATACTTACAAATAACATGGTTAGAAACATGTGTCATCTTATAAACCAATATATTGATAACCCAATAAATTTAAAGAATGTGTTGCTAACATTTTTATGTTATTTTTGGAGAAATGATTTGTTCTAACTAATCATAACTTGAATTATTATTAATTGACATATACAAGCTAAAAGAAACTCAAATATATAACTTTAGAACACAATTGTATTTTATGAATTGGCATGAGAAAAATAAAATAAAATTTGAATTGAATCATAAATGAGTAAATAGAATTACAGCCAAATATTTGTCTCTAAAACGTTTCAATTTGATCCCATGAAATGTCTTATCTGAAGTTTAAGGAGGTAACCAAGAAACATTGAAATCCAAGATTTCAATTTTTATCACTATAACAGATTTGTTTAGGTTTTAATTGATTTTTAACATAATAAGTGTTATGCAGAGAAAATAAATTTCCAATTTAACCTAAAATTTATAGACCTTTCAATCCTAAAATTTCTCTTTAAATAAATTTTGGAGCATTCATCATTCTTCAATATTACTATTAATATATGGTGACTAATATATCACACCTTAATAAAAGGTTAGTGCCTATGTGGGGACACAATCAAATTGTCACGTTTAAAAAAGTTAACTAAAAACTAAAACGTATTTTCTTCCCTTCAATAATTGGATGCCAACAATTGAAATATATTCACAAACAAATTAGCTAAAAACTAAAACTTGTTTCTGACCAATCATCATATATACATTACTAAAAATACTCTTATTATCCTAAATTGCATGAAGATTATAAAAGGTCCCATGATAGTTAGCAACACATTCTGTCCACAAGAGATCAAGGAACCTTAGATTCCTCTTTTTTTTTTCTCCATAACAACAAAATGAAATTGGCAACAATTTCTATTTTGTTGTTTACTTTTTCCTTGATCTTCATTTCCCATGCTCCTTTACCATCATTAGGAAAAAACTTGCATGAATCTTTATGTGATGAAGTCAAGGAAGACAAGGGTAGGTGCCTTGAAGTTTTCAAAGGTGATCCTGGAATTGCTAAGGCTAAAGACAACTTTGAACTTTCTAAATTGATCCTTGAATTTGCACTAAAAAAGGGAATTGAGGCGCAAAATTTTCTAAAAGAAGTGATGAAGACAAACCCTTCACCAGCCATTAAACAATGTGCAACTATCATCTATGATGGAGTTATTGAATCATTGAAAAATTCATTGGGTGAGTTAGGTGGAGATGGCCAAACTTCAAGTTATGATGTCCAAGTTGCTAGTGATGGACCTATAACTTGTGACAAGGCCTTGAGTGAATCCAATATCACCAATCCTTCCATTGTAGCCTTCAACAGAGATATTTTGTTACTTAGCAACCTTGCATTTAGAGTCATTGACAAGTCTTCCCAAGATGTAGAAAGTGATTTATATGTTAAATGATAGATAGAGGATTGAGGAGTTATCATGTTCTACGTTTTCAGTATTACTCTCTAATGCGCAGGAACATAAATTAACGTTTTCTTTTCTATTAAAATAGTATGCAAAACAAGATGAAGAGTAGAAATTATGTTGATTAGGTGGAGAAAACAATAATGCTCCACAAAAGAAACAAATTGTTCTAAATCTAAAATATTAGAGTCCGAACATTAATATCGAACAAATTTAATCAGGTTAAAATTGGTCCTTTGTTTTAATATAGGAGCAGATTAAATTAATTTTTTTTTGTCTATTTTAAAATATAACTTAAGCTAGACCATTAAATTATTTTTACTTGGTATGTAAGGCTAAACTAGACTAGATTCAACCACCCATTTTAATAACTCTAATTAGGAATGACCAAATGAATTATGTTTGATGGATAATTAATTCACTTAAAAAATGACTGTTGATAATTTTAACTTTATCGTCTGTTTTGACTCGTCGTCTTGTTGAATTTGTTAACTTGACAAATAAAGAAAAAAATGGAGTGATCTCACCTGTTTTTAAAATATTTATATTTTAATTAAAATTAAAAAAATTAAAAATAAAATTATTATATTTTTATATCATATCATATTAAATATATTATAATATTATAATTTAAATTATAAATATTAATTAATTATATTTAAATTATTGTTTATAATTAATTATTTTAATATATAAATAATAAATAAAAATTTAAAATTATTTGTATAATTAGAGAAGGTATAATTTAAAAAAAAATACATAAAAGAAAATTATTATAACATGATCCACTCCCATTAACTTGTTAAAAGGACAGACGGGTTGGGTGGCCCGTTTCACCATCCACGATGATGTCTAGATTAGTAATTGTACAAGTTCCAGAATTTTCTAAGTATGTACTCCGAGGCGGAATATAGCTTTACAATTCCCAAATTGGAGCCCTAGCCTCCGCCACTGCCACATTCTTTTCTTCCTCTTCCCTAAGCAATTTTTTAGCACAAGATTCGTTTTATCTTCGTGTTTAAACCTACAAGTTAACTCAATTTGGGTCCATCGACTTTATATTGTCGCATCTGCAGAGAAGAAAGACCCTCAGCTTGTGTATCAGAAGGGGTTTATTTTGTTGATTATCTAGATATGGTACGTTTCTCTGTCTCTATTTTATTTTATTTTTTCTATCAAGTCTGTGTTCTTCGCTGTTTAGCTTCTGTGCGTAAGGGAATAAAAAATCCGTGTTTGTTTATCAGAAGGGGTTTATTGTTTCTTCTATCGATTCCTCTTCTTTGTTTTTCTTTTTCCTATCGTCTCATGAGATTTATTGGTAGAATTTTTAGATGGTTTTTTTGCAGGTATGCCGTTTTGATACAATGGTGTTTCTAATTGTTTTTTTGTTGCCAACCTAGGTTGTTTGGTTTTCATTGACTGTTATGGATGTAACTAGGTTGTGATTTCTGTGTTGGCGTAGTTTAGTTTTTGGGTTGTCGTAGTTTCAACACATAGATTACTGCTAACCCTTTTTTTTAATCTATGTATCATAAGGGAAAAGAAGGTGAAAGAGAGAAGTCTATGTAGGGGGTTTAATCTGCTAGCTTTAATGATCTTGGATAGTAAATTTCTGTACTTCTTTGTTTCCCTTTTCAAATTTTAACCGAGTTATATATGCAGGCTGCTAAGATTCTTGCGAACTTGATTGTGATGGGTGGCGGAATCTTGGCAAGAGCAGTCGTTCAAGCATATCGTCAAGCACTTACTAGTAAGCTTTTCAAATTTGTGATTGTGGATAGATATGTGATTTGTGTTATGAATATACATACATACATACATATATATATATATATATATATATATATATATATATATATATTCCGATTTCAATGTGTTTAGTTTATTTATTGGGGTTTGTTTGTGTTGATATATAATGTTGACATGGTTTCCAACAGTACTTACTGGATATTCTATTTCCACATATCTTAAAAATTTAGTAGCTAAATTTGTTTTTCTAAAGATTTGTGGGAGTTGTGGCTTTTGTTGCCTTTTTTTTAGCATTTGCCAAGGGGCAGGGGATTTCACAGGCTTCTTGATGTAAGTTAACAATTTTGAATGATTTCAAAGGATCAAGCACTTGGGGAACCCGCCCTCAAAACCTAGCTATTCAGGGGGGAATACCAAACACTTGAATACTCTATCAAGCTTCCCATACTACTAGATGTGGGACTTTGGGATCACATAATACCCAAGTTCCTATCATTGTACCATCCCTGATAACCGATGTCTCATTGATTTTCACTCTGGGACACTGATTGGGTGCTATGATGGGAACTTAAATATTATGGGGTTTACTATCCAGGATTGATTACATTGGGCTAAGTTATTCCTACTACTCTTTTCAGTATGTGAATGTTTGGTTTCGGCCAAGGTTGTCAAAATCAAGATTTTAAGTAGGGTCAAGAGGGGTTCACAATATCGTTATTGTGATATTGTAACACGGATTGAAGATACTACACTATATAAATATAATACATATGACCATATAATATTGACTTATAAAATATACATAAAATCTTTTAAAAAATATCCTTAAAATTAAAATATGATGAATATAATTAAATTTAATAAATTAAATTAGTATACATTAATTTTATATTATTTATTGTTTAATAAAAAATTATTATAATCGATGAATAGTTGAGTCTTATGATAATATCAAAAGTTATATTAGTAATGATTATTAATTAATTAATGACATAATTTTTTACAGTAATAGTATTTTCTTTAAAAAGTTATATATTCAATAAACCCATTCCTATTCCTCTACCCCAAACCTACACACCCTATCTATCATGTGCTCAATTCCTTTCTCTTTCCCTTTCACACCCCTCTATTTTCCTCTCATCTTCAAATTCAGAACACAACATCCCATTTCTCTTTCCCTTCCACACCTTTCTACTTTTGCTCTCTTTTTCATTTTCAAAGCACGATGCCCTTAGTGCCCAATGGATAAGGTTGGAGCCTTGGGGGCGAAGGGTTAGGGTTTTTGAGAGATATGGAATGTGAGACATGGCTGAGTATTATTGCACGTTGTTAGGAGCCATTTGAGCATAGTGACGATGTCATTGCCAAAAAAGAATGCAAAGACGACCCCCCTCTAGTTTTGCAACATTAGAAAGTTTGTCATCTTCTCTATAGTTGTTGTCCATGCGATCCTAGTTCCCAAGTCCTAGCTGCACATGTCGATTCAATGATTTCACAATTTTCTTTTTTGATCCCACAGATCTTACTCTAATGCGATTTTGCATGGCCACTGAATCGAACATGATGTGTAAAATCATGGAATAGTGCAATTCCACGTTCTTAATAGTGATTTTGACTATTGTGCTTTTAGTAGCTCCCCTTGATAAAGATTAATAAATGGAACTTAGGCCAGGAATTAGGTTTGTTGGATAGATTAACTTTCACAAAATTGTAAGTAAAATAAACTTCAGAATGAGGGAAGGTGGAAAAAAAGAGAGTCAAAGTATGGATTTGTTCATTTTGGGTGAACCATTAGATTAGCTAGGCTGTCTTCTTTATAACAGAGGCTCTGTCGACCTAGATGTGTTACTAAAGAATATTAATTTCTTTCATTCCTGTTTTGACAAATGGATATGTGATCTTTCAGATATAGAACCTTTTATGAAACGTTACATGAATTCTTAAGTAATTTGAACCTTTTGACTGATCTATTTTCTTTTATTTAAATATCCTATTTACAGATCCAACTCATAATTGTACCGCTTAAATTTTTTATGTCTAGAGATTTTAGAAGATTGAAAGCTTCTTCTGTTACTGAATTTTATTTTGGACTATTCATTAAGTTTAGAATCTTGTTTGGAAAGCATGTAAAGTTTTTTGGCATTGTACTTTTTTGGTAGAGATTTGGGCTTAAGGATGGAATAAAATGGCATAATATTCAACCATATGTGCATTCTTTTTCAGCTCTATGGGACCGAATAGTTGGCATTACTTTCTGTTTGGGACTAATCCTAGTTTAGGAGTTTTTTTTTTTCTCTTTTTTTTTTTAATGGATATTCAGATAGGAGAACTTCTAGATATGCTTCCCTTTCTTTTTATTATTCCTTTTTATTTTTGGTGTGGGTGTGGTTGGTCTTGCCTTATATGTTTTGCTCTAGGAGGATTTGTTTCGCTTTTTATGAAAACATCAATCGTACCTTTTATTTATTTATACAGCAATAGTACCTTATTATCACTGAATGGAATCGGATACATGGATTCTACTAAGCTGCCACATCTGTGCTTATCATAGAGTCATGAAGCTACAATTATCTTAAACCCTTCTTAGTAGTCTCCAACCTTTCTTTTTGCATTTCCCTCCATTTATCTCTCAAGGTTGAACTTCATGCTGTGGTAGTTTATAATCTAACATCATGTCTGCTCCTCTGTCTTTGATGCTTACATGAGTGGACCATCTTGAACACTGATAACTTTCTCTCTTGTGATCTCTGGCCCTATCTTCTCTTGTCTGCCCATTCATTTCTTTGACTGTAAACTTGAGCACAATTTTTCCATTAACCACACATCATTCTCTATACAACACTGCTGGTCTAACTAGAGTATAGTTAAACATTCTCTTGAATTTATTTTTCTTTGACACTGTAGAGTTGCAATATATTTCAGACTCCTCGCTTTATCCATCCTACTGGTGTTTCTATACTGATGTCATAATTGACCTCTTTGTCCTCTAGATGTCGCCATTGAATCCCTTTTCATTAGAGCTTTATTTTTTTTTATAGATTGATGAGGATAACGGCCTAAATTTATATCCTCTTGTTCTAGACGTCTCAGATAATATGAAACATTGCATTCTGAACAGCTTACGTCTCCAAATCTCAAATATAACTCTGATACTTAATGGAAAAGTTTAACAAATAGTTCTTCCTGTTAATTCTGTGGTCTTTGTCAAATATCTTGTATCTATACTCTGATAAACTTGTGTGTTATTTACTTTGTCTTCTTTCTTATAATGTCTTGGCAAAGTCTCTCTCACAGTATACACACAGACACGATAAAACAGCAGCCCTAGATCTTATTTTCATAACATTATTTGTGTGATACCCAGATGCCTCCAAAAATGGTGTTGCACAGGAGACAATACAAAATACTATTCGCAGAGCTAGCAAGGCAATGACAGAGCAAGAGGCTCGACAGATTCTTGGTGTTTCTAAGGAAACTCCCTGGGAGGAGGTTATCAAGGTTAGAATATCATCTATGTTGTGGGTATATTTACCCATTTGCTTTTTCAATTTATCACTTTCTAATGTGAGGAATGCGTTTTAGAGGATGGCATATTGTTTAATAGCCTTCAATTGGAAATCAATAACTAAAACTACCTTCGAACCCAAATACAACTAAAAAACCTAGCTTCACACTAAATAAGAATGTCAGTTAAATTTCTTTAATATTCGTGATTTCTTAAAAGGCAAACAACATTTCTCAGCTACCCTTACTGTTTCTTTGTGGTGCTCCGCTGTGAAAAGTGTATTTCTTTTAATAATGACATTAGATAGGATTAAATTAATTAAATTTGCCTATATTTTCAGTCCACCAAACATGAACATTTTTTTTTTAAATTCGACTCTGGAGGAAGCATGCGATAAAATACAAGCTTATTTAACCCCCACCTTTTGTCTTGTATTTTCTACACACTCAACTTTCGTCCCTCAATTTAACTCCTCTAATTTACTTACAATGATCTGTCCAACAAGGAGGTGAAATTTGTGTTTCATGACTTTGGTGTTGGTTACAAAGATCACCAAGTAACTGTACAGTAACTTAGCAGAGTTAAACTAAGGGATGAAATGTAGGTTTAGATATGTAGAAAATTCAATGACCTAAAAGTCGGGCATAAACCAACACCTGGCAATAATACTAAAAAAATTTCCATTGACCATATGTTATGATATGCTATAATGCATTTGATGTTACTATTAATGGTGGCTTCACAATTTTTATGCTGAAGTATACCTCTCACTGCAGAGAAGCTAACTTATTCTTGTTCTAATTATTTTTAAAAACATTTCTTGCTATGCAGAAATATGACAATTTGTTTGAGAGCAATGCCAAGAGTGGGAGTTTCTATCTCCAGTCCAAAGTACAACGTGCCAAAGAATGTCTAGAGGAAGTTCAACAGGGCAAGAGTCAGGATACCCCTAGTTGAAAACTTAGATTTTTCTCCACATTTTTATATAACCCTTGTAATAATTTTTTTCCTACAAGCCTGTATACAATTTGTGTTATCAGAAGTTTCTGAACTAAAATTTTGATTACTATAAAAAATTGTACATGATTGATTAGTTTGGGAGTGACTGCAAATAAGGGCTACTATTTATAGAACTGAACTTCCTCATTATATTTTAACATGATCAAAATCAATCTGGTGGGCAAGATATTGATGTAATAAAAATCAGTTGCACGTTTCTTTACTTGATTGGCACCAGAATTTTGGTATTTTTCACTTTCTGTGCATCGTTGCTGTACGGAAGAAGCTTTCACTTTTTAGCACTCATCGTTACAGGTATTTATTGTTTTCGTCATCAGTAAGGTATGTCATGGGTCAAGAATAAAAGAGAGAATGAAAAGGATGTGTTATCTGGATGAGTGAATGGTACATTTTTTTTCACTTATTTAAATGAAAAAATAACAAAAGACATATGTGATTTGTCTGAATATTCATGTCATCTTAATATAGGGAAGAATTTACTCATTTTTTCTGAACATTAAATTATTAAATTTTCAAAACAACTACAAAAGGGGATCACTTCGTTTTTTTTATTTAAAATGTTTTTGTTATTTTTCTTTCAATCACTCAAGAAAATTATAATATTTAATACTTTTATAATTCTATTTATTTTGGTTGTAATGTAAATAGTCTCCCTGAACCATGGTCATATTAAACGGTGTTCCAAATAATTGAAAAAATTAAATATCTATAAATATTTTTAGAAGAGAAAAATAAAAAAGAAAAAAACAAAATTAATGTCTTCATAAATTAAAATAAGTTTACAAAAATCAGAATTTATGAAAATAAGTATAAAATAGTTATATAATAATTTAGTCTATATGTAAATCAATTGAAGTTTATGAAAAACTTGATTTAAAATTGTTTTGCAGTGAGAAATAAATGGTGATTATTAAATTTTATTTCAAATGGGTTCTATGATATGATGATTTCTATAAATGTTAACCTCATGTGGGTGTGATAGAGATAGATTGATGAAATTTCTAAAAATTTATTTAATAGATTATAAATTCATATTTTTATTTTTAAAGTATTATTTTCTTAAGAGACAATTTAGTAGTAGCCAAGGAACAAATACAACAAGAAACACATAAAGAACATTTATAAATGAAATCTCGACAATTGGGCAAGTCATTAGCAAAGAAAACAAATACAATGTGTAAAACTTATCCCTACAAAGCTTTTGGGTTTGTGAAAATCGATTGAATAATAAATTTTATATGCACAGGTGACAAATACATCATCCAAAAACCCACTATTATCTTATAGAAATCACAAAACAAACAAATTCATATCATTTTCAAATCGTAACAACATCCAATTGATAATGGTATCCTCTCACATCCACCAATGGAGAACCACCATGCTTATTATCCTTACACTCCTCTCTCTTCAATCTCTCAACACATTGTTTTATTTCATTGGATTTAATTTTCAAAGAGTTATCAACATAGAAAAGGTTTACCAATTTTGATGACCTAAGTTAGTGTCACATTCAAGAATTAAAAAAAAAAAGGAATGTGCCATAAACATGTCTAAACACTGTTTTTTTTTTGGGTCCAACTACTTATTTATTTGTTGGTTACCCAAAATGGTAGGTAAGCTACCAATCACCCCTTTCAACCCTTATCCCCACACTCTCAATGCAAAACCAAGTGGAGCTTCCACTTCACAAGTGAAACTTTTCTCCCACTTCAAAAAGTAAAAACCAAAATTCATCTTAAGTAAAATTTATAAGATTTATAAGATTTATCTTAAGTAAAAATCTTAGGTAAACTTAATTCATATGATGTGTTAAAACTTATCTTAGTGACTCACTTCAGAGAATAATCTTACTAATTGGTGAGAAAATCTTTAATCAAAATTGTTTGTGCATAAAAAGTTAAAGATGTACTAAAATGTTTATTTTTTATTTTTTTTATTAACAATTAATATTACTTACTTCATTCTTACCTAAGGGAAACTCAATTGATTTAGGGTTTACATGATGATACAACTCTAACAAATAAAGTGTTCTAATTAAAACATCATATATGTTTGGATAAACTTTTTAATTTTTTTTTTTTTACAAATTACTCTTTCTAATTTTGGGGAATATTTTATAATAAACTTATCCTATTTCTATTAAATTCAAAAACTCCTTTGAAACAAACTTATATTAGAATTGTTACCATATGGTTGCATAGAAAAACAAATTATTTATTAAAGTGAAGGAAAGAAATTTAAAATTGAATAATACTTTGGTCAATTATAATATTTTAATCTCGAATACTTTTGACATTTTGGATCAAAATAGTTCAACAATTTTGCTTATTAAATTAAATTCACATTATTAAGTCTTCTCTTGATCGGAAAGATCAAACCTTCCATAACTAAAAGTTTTTGAGTTTAATTTATAATGTGGACTTTCATTCCTAGGTCTTCTAATTATAAGATTTTATAAACGGATTAATCTTTTTAGCCCATAAATTGTTTTTTAATGATTTTGTTAAAGTTTATTTATTTATTTATTTATTTCTATAGTCATATGAAATTTTCAAGTGTCTTATTAAATACTAATGTAATATTTATTATTAATTAATCTTAATTAATGTGCTTTGGAGATTTGGCAGTGAGATGTTAATTTAATGTTAGGTACAGCACACACCGCACGTGTCAAACTGATGTTGTAGACTGTAAGCTGCACACGTGCCATGTCTTAGTTTTTCGAATCCCAATACTCACGAACTCTCGTCACGTTTATTTTGTTTTTTACTTTCCCACTTTAATAAATAAATAAATATAATAATTAATTTAACTTTGTTGGTTACGATTTTCTCAGTAGTTGCCAAGTTTAAGTGGGACCACGTCATCTATCACGCCACGTGTTTTTTACGTGTATATCAACTTTATCAAATTTTGTTAAATTATTAGTATATATATAAAATGTGTGGAGATGTATTAACCAATGTTTAAATGATATTTTTCTTTAAAAAAATTAAAAAATTAAATCATGGATTTTTTTCTTATATATTACTCAAATTTGTATTTTTACGTGAGACTTAAATTTATATTTACATTTTCATAATTATAAATTGATTCATATCCTAAAGACAATGAACTAAAATAATATCGAATATACATTTTAATAAATTAGTATAATAAATTTAATCAAAACATTTAGCACATTGCATGCTATTTTAGTCAAAACTAAAAGTGGGGCATGCATGAAGGAAAAAGGAATTAATAAATTTAAAAGAATGGAATGTGAACAAAAAGAAAATAACAATTTTTATTTTAATAGTTTGTGGGATTTTCCAGGAAAGTGACATTGGAGATGGAAAAGGAATTAAAGGAAGTGACATTGGGTAGATTTGGGTAAGACGTGAACCTTCATAACACGCAATCTTCCTCGTATTATGTTATGTTTCAATCCAAAGAAAATATAAACCAAGAGATTTTACATTTAATAATTTACTACAACATGCATTGAATTCCAGGATCAAATTTTGTTTTTGTTGTCCCTTTTAATCAATTTTGTACAAATAAAAAGGTTTTAATTGTGATTTTTTAAGAGAGATGAGAATGAGGATAAGAGCTAACTCTATTCTAATCTATCTCTTTATTTTAAAATTTTAATTAATCATAATTTTATTACTCATTAAGAAAAATATTTCTTAATTTATGGAAATGTTTTTAAGGATAAAACGGTAAAGTAGAAAAATGGAAATTGATGATAATAACTTATTATAGCCGATTGGAATACTAATCATTTGTAATAAACAGTTGTACATAAAAGTATAAATACAATAATTAATATTCAGCATGTCACATCAGATTTTTAAGAAGTCAATTACGCAATACATTTTGTTGCTTCGTTTTAAGTTCTTTTAAAGAACCGATGCTTACCACTTTTTTTCTTTTTTAGTTTTAAAATCAGTAACCTGCATATAGATTTGTGACAATCCTACCAATTTTTACATATATAAAAAAAAAAAAACACTATAAATTAATGTAAACATGAAGTTCAAAGAACAACAACAGTTTATGTTTGTGTACCTAATCCAACTTCTTTTCCACGGTCAATGTTTTCATCTCATGAAATCACAATTTTTTATATGGATTTTCGTTCCACTTACCTTACTTTATTAATTTACAGTATTATATAACATACTTACATGTTTCAAAATTTTAATTTAAATATCATAACTTTTTTATTATATATACTTTTTTTTCTGGTGAAAAAATCAAGCAATGTTTTTATTGAAATATAATGGTCACCAAAAATGAAAATAATGGTTGAACAAACCGATGCAAATTATTTTGCACGTTTTTTCATCCGTGAAAGATTCGTCTAATATCTGAACTGTGACTAAACCATGAAACATTGCAGGTTTCGATAGCAATGATTTGGATAAAAAATCCAAATATATTTATAAAAAAATACGATAGATAAATAATTATTTATAAATTAAGTTTAGCTTCTTCCCCACGATGTTTTAAATGTATTATTTTATAAAAAAAATTAATATAATCAGTGATGTAATATGGGTGACATGATGGTGTGTTCCTATTATGCAGTTGTAAGTATTTATAATTGTTTCTTACAATATGGTGTGCTCAAATAGAGTGGTCCAAAATTGAATCTATTTTTCTTTCATTTTATTAATGAAAAAAGAATTACTTAACATTCAACCAAATTCAGGAGAAAATTAGTGTGGTGGTCTTATAGCAACAACTATAATTTTTATTACAATTTTGAAGACCCAATCAACTATGTTGTTGCTAAACAAATCTTAGTTTTGCCAATGACCTTATTCTAATATTTCAGAACATGTTCGGGAGTGAAGTTCAAAAGAAGAGGTAAAACTTGTTTAAATTTTATAATTACTTGATTTCAAAATAAAGCATTTACCTTTGGAATCAATTCTGAAAACCCAATTACAAAAAGTGCTTTTAATAGCATCCATCACACTAAAATTGTGACAAATGTTGCTTCTCTAAGTAAACATTCTTGTTGTGGACCACCTCGTTAGCATCAAATCTAAGTTATTGTCAAATTTAATGTAGCACGTTCATAAATAACATCACTTTTTACTCAGTAAATTTAATTTCTTAATTTGGAGAGTAAATTAACTCTTTTCATAAATAAATTTTGTGTATATAAATTTTTAGAAGAAGTCAATTTGCTTGAATAAAATGTTAATAAACCACCAATTCCTAATTTTCGGCCAGAACTATCTTACGTTGAAAAAGAAAATTATGAATTTATAGTGGCAATTAAATTCGGGTATCTTAAAGAACAATTATAACATGTAACATTTGTAAAACTATAAAAAAATATTTAACAAAGTTTGCATGATTCCTAAGTCACCTAACTAATTCAATTCAATTCAATTCAAGTGGCTAAGTTTTAAAGTTGATTTCAAATGCATAGTGTAGTTTACAATCAACCTCAAAATCACAACACCAACAACTTCATCACTTCAAGTCTATGTGTTCAGTCTGGTTATATATTATATAGATAACATTTGTCAAACAAGTATCTAAACTGAAAAGTAGGTTTAAATTTGATGAATTCAAAAAAGAGACATTGAAACATACTTGGTGCACTGTAAAGTTCAAAGACCAATGCCCATTCAAAACTATCTTTCTTTGAACAAGTTGGTTTCTAAACTTGCAAAAATTCCTTCCCCTGCTCAATCCCAGGATCCACATCATTTGACTCATCCACTTCATTCCCCTCATAACTCACAAAACCACTTTCATACCATTCTACTTCTCTTCACCTTATTTATTCCTTCTTTGACTATATAAAATTGAACTTAAAATATTAAAACAAGACTTAGACACTCTCAAATTTTACATGGAAAAAAAATATAAACAAATCTTGAAAAAAAATAGTATTTTATTTATGTAAAATTCTAGCTGAACTAGATAGACATTAGACCAATTGCAGAAAATCCGTGGCTTATATAAAAGGTGCAGAAATTCCGTGCCTTTATTCTATTCAATATTAGTCTGCATCTAGAATACAAAGAGGACGTTGATTATGAACAGTTAATACAAGTTTTGTATAAACAAGAAATTTCAACACATATTAAGTAAAATTGTACGCAAAGAAAAAGCTAAATTCAGTTACTTAATTTGAATTCGCTTTAATGATAAAGCAGTGAGGTGAAACAAAAAGAAAAGTAAATATTATGACTGGATTGGGTGAAATTTGGAAATTGTATTCTACAAAATTTATTTTATGTTCTATCAAGAAGAAAATAGAAAAATATAAATAATTTTTTTTATTAAAAATTCAAAATTTAAGATTTTCTTCCTTTCCCTTTTCTCTTTAATTCAAATTTAAAAATTTCCCATCTTTCTTCGTTTCTTTATCTTTGTCAAAAACAGAGATTAGTGTAAGATGATCTCATCATTAATGTATTCATTATATTACTCTTGTTCATTAAGATTGGAACAAATGAACACATCCAAAATAACCCAAAAGATAAAGAATGATGATGATGACTAAATCTCCAAAAATATTATTAAAAAAGAACTAAAGTATAGCAACATTTTTTGATAAAATCTGTGGCTGTAGAGCAGATAGCAGACAGAGTATGTAAAAGCTATGGGTTTCTACGTCTTTCCATGGATAACTCAGAGAACGTTAACATCATATCCATTGAGAATTGGAAATAAACTAACCCTAAACCTAAAATCTTGCTTTGTCTTTACCTCCCACCACCCATTCATTCAATCACTTCCTCCCACCTTTTCTGTTTTCAAACAATCTTCTTTACATGAATAGGAACAAAACAATAGTTAACTCCAAAACTACATGTTCAAGGAATTTACCATCATTTAAGAAAGGAACACAACTTCAAAAAAGTTACCTAAATATTTTTATACCATCTTCTTTCAAAACCGAAGTTTCATCTAGTACATTGCATTAAATATCAGAATAAATTACTGAAATGAAACTCTTTGATTTGATGATTATCGTAACCAAATTACTTAAAAAAACTGTTTTTAAGTTGTATCCTTTAAAAAAAAAAAAAAAGTAAAACAAGTCTTTTTTTTTTATCCTAAGTATGAAACAGAAAAAAGTAAAGACAAAACAAAAAAGGAAGATGTGAAGGAAACTGAAACAATGGATCAACCAGAAGGTGGTGGCTGGCCACTGGTATCCGACCATGTTGACGGCGGAAGCTCCGGCCTGCCGCTGGACGGAGGGAGGATTTCCGGTGGCTGGAAATAGTCCATTTGTTGACTTGAAAACATGGGAAATGAAGCAGAGGAAAATTGAGCAGATGTTGAGAATAATGGCAATGGAGTTGGTGACACGGAAGAAGAAAATGAAGGTGATGATGGTAACAATGAAGATGATTGAAGTGAAGCCAATTGTGAATTATAGTACAACTGCTGAAGCAAACTAGAAGGTTGTGGTTGTTGCTGTTGATAATGATGATGCTGATGTTGAAAATCACTCTGTAGAAGCTGAGAGTATTGCAAGTAGTCTCTGATCAAGTCAGAGGAGCCCTGCATCTGTGGCGGCTGAATGAAAGCTGGCGCCGCCACGGCCGCGGGGAGTGGCCGGAATTGAGTGGTGGAGGAGTCAGAAACGATTAGCCTTGTGGCGGGTTGGAAAGGTTGAAGAGGTGGAACTGCTCTAACATTTTCAGGGAAGTTTAGCTTTGCCCTGTTGCCTCTGAACCTCAATGCAGCTTCATCATACGCTCTTGCTGCTGCTTCTTCAGTGTCGAATGTTCCAAGCCAAACTCTTGCTGCTTTATGTGGATCACGGATTTCAGCTGCCCATTTTCCCCATGGCCTCTGTCTCACTCCCCTGTACTTTCTCCTCCTTTCCCCACCACCTGGCGTGGATTCACTAACCGCAGTGGCCACGGCGGTTACAGTAGTAGTTGTGGAGGTGGGAGTTTCTTCAGTCACTGGTTAAAGTGAAAAGATGATATAGAAGGCACAAAACATGCGCACTAGTGTGGAGAAACATGTCATTGTGTAATGAATGGCTTGAATATTAACTATGGTGTTTGTGCTTGTAGTTGAAACACTATTTTATGTCCAGTTTTGGTATTTGAGTATGTGACTTATGAATAATGATCATGTTCAGTTTATTAAGTTTTTCTTTGTGATAACATGATTTTGGAAAATGAAAATCTCCTAGATTAAAAAAAAATGAAAAATGGAAAGTGTATATGCATGCAATATAAGATGCAAGAATGATGCTCCCCTGCAATAGGTGGTAGGGAAAGAAACTCAATGAAATGAAGGATGAGAGTACTTGATTCTGAATACTTAATACAGATTAGTGATGCTGCATGTTTCATTGAACAAGTGGTATGGTTGGAAAAGATGAGATAAATTGGTTAAGAAAGTTGAAGATAATGCAAATAATGATGCACATACACCCCATTTGTTGTTTTAGATACAAAACATGAGACGAGGGTGAAATGAAATGATGTGTGAATTGAGATTATGATGATTGTAGAAACGCAAGACATGTTTTATGGCGAATTTGAGGAAGTGGTGTAGTGAAGTAATTGCACCTGAAGATGAGTCTCCTTGAGAAGGCACCATGAAGTCTCCAACGGTTCGGAAGAGTCTTGGAGCACTTTGTTGTTGCATCAAGTTATGTGAAGAAGAGGTATTAGTCTCTTGTTCTTGTCTCCCTCTTTTCTGACCAACAGAAGAGGGTCCAGAAGAAGGAGAAGAAGATGAGAAAGAAGACAAACGTGAGAGAGAAGGTGCATGTCCAAAACCTGACATCATAGGATAGCCACTTTGCTGCATCCATTCGGTGCCCCTCTGGCCAGAACCTGATGAAACCACGTGTGTCAAAGCTGAAACCATTTCTCTCAACTCTGGATCCCCCCTGTTGTACCCTGAAACCAAAGAACCACCTTGCATTGTTACCTCACCTTGTTGTTGCATCACTTGGTGAAAATTGAATCCTGGTGAACCACCGCTACCACCACCACCATCACCATCATGTCCATGATCATATTCGCCATCGCCGCCACCATCACCGCCGCGTTGATCCGCGGTGAACCGGATAAACTCACCTGACCCCCTTTGGTACGCCACAGTTAGCAAGGACATGAAAACTACGAACTATTTTTTTTTTCTTACTATTTCTGGACCAAAATCAAATTACCAAGATCCACCTGAAAATTTTGCTGTTTGATTCCTTCTTTGGACACCCTTTGGAATGCTATTGATGATGAAACGGTTTTATAATAAAGGGGTACAAAATTCAGCATGTGGAGTTAAGGTAGCCAGCCACCATTAAAATAGTGTAACCTAAGCTATAAGTATATCCTTTGCCCTGTGGCGTATGCTCTAGCTTCTACCATGCGCGTGAACACACACACACCCCTTTACCACCTTTATGATTATTTTAGTAGTTTAATTTTCATGGTGCACAAATTGTGTTTGGATTTCTGAAATATATAAAAGGAAATAGCTTTGGTATGGTGGCAAATACTTAAAAAAAAAAAAGGTGAATAATAAATATCTATACGGTTTGTCACGGCTGAGAATTTTGGTATCTATGTTCACATTTAAACTGGCTTTGACTGAGAAATAAATAGAAAGTACGAATTGCAGCTAACTAGTTAACATCTTGTTGCAGTCTTTTTGCAAATGCCAAGTTTGTGTCGGTGTTATTCTAGAGAGAGAGAGAGAAACAGAGAAGATCATGTTTGAGTTGAACTCTACCACAAACACTCAAAAATTAATTTCTGTATCTTTATCGTGTGTCATTGAGGGTTAATTAATAACTTGGAGTCTAACATTTTATGGTCTTATGCAAAAAAGTTTACAAAAATAAATAAATAACCCATTAAATTTAGTGAATAAGATAAGGAATAGTCTTTATTGAATAAGGTATTTTCTTTGAATAAATTTTAGTGTGATTTTCATATACTTTAATAATTAGTCTCTATCCATTACAATCATTAATCGACTAACACTATAAAATCTTTTGCACGAATACCAGATAACAAATAAACTCCATATATATTTCGTTTTTTTAATGGAATTATTATGACTTGCCCGAGTGCGTGATTTTTCAGAACCAGACAACAAATGTACAAGATAAAGACATCGTTTGAGGACACAAGGCAGAGCTGTAAATTGGAACAGTACCAAAATGCAACTGCAAATTTGTCTATAAATTTATCGATAAGAAAATTTAGGTATTTCTCCGCAAAATAGAAGGCAACGATTCAAAATTTTCATTCAGAAAATAGACCAAATAAGAACACATATATAATTGTTTATATTCCAAAAGGGGTAAAAAAAAAAAATTAAATGAATGAATGTGATTGTATGGTCAAAACACGGCTCTATGCTATTGAGAAGACAAATTTAAAGATGTTGTGAGGATCACGATGGAGAAGAAGAACAATCAAACAGGACCCATATTATTATTGTAAAGTGATTTTGAATTCTTCAAAATTGGTGGAATATTTATAGAAACTTTCTTTTTTATGTGTTGGTGCATGCTTATTTGACACTTTTGGTTTTTGGTAGAAATATTTAACATTTTAAAGGCTGTTATAAATAAGGTCAACTGGTTTACTGGGTCGCTATAGTTTTTCCGTCATGAATGATCCAAGAGATTCTTTCTATATTCATCATTTGCATGCACACGGAAAATACGATTGTGTTTTTATGTCTAATTATAAGTCATCTATATATCCTCATACGTATCAACTATTCATCCCAAAAAAAATCTTACTTTTGAACTTGAATTGGTTAGTTGCATGATCATGACGAGAAAAGTTTCAACCAACAAATGTGAATCTTATATTGTGTTGTGTTCTTAAAAACAAATTCGATAAAATTTAGAAAACTAGAATACAATGTTTTGATATATTTGTGATGTGACAATATGAATAGGTAATAAAAAAAGAAAGGTTAAGATGTCAACGTGTACTGAGTGAGAGAGATTAAATGTTACACGTGTGGGCAGTTCAGAATACTGATGGGAGATGAATACGGAGAGTGGGTCCACTTCAAAACTAAATCATACCTGCACCTTTGCAGTAACTCTCATGTCACTCATAATAATAATAATAATTACTTTAATAGTATTACCGCCCTAATGATTTACCATTTTAAAACATACCGTAATCACCGTCAAATTTATCTTATCATTTAGGTTATTATTGGTTTGAGTGATTTGAGAGAGTGAAATGAGAGTGTGGAAATAGAGGAATTTGAAGGAAATTAAAGTTGTTTTGATGAATAGAAAGTGAAAGAAAAGTTTATGGAAAATTGTGAGTGATTTGATTGATACTGAGATATAAAAGTTATAATTTTAATTGATTATTTAAGAAAATTATTATTTTACCCTTGTGTATAAAATAAGGTTAAAATTATTATAAATATAATTTTTTAATTAATTATCCATATTTTAACATTGATTATATATTTAAAAGAAAAAACAAATTTAAAAGTGTTTGTAAGTGGAAACAAATTTAAAAAATTAATTTTTTTAAATAGTTATTAAAAAATATATAAATAAATAATTACAAAATTATTTACATTGCATATCCATAAAAAATAATTTTGACATATTAAATAAATTATTTGACTAATAATTAAATAATTATAAAATATAAAATAATAATTAATATTTATTAATAATAACAAATAATTATGAAAACTAATAATATAATTTTAAATTATTATTTTAAATAAATATAAAATATAGTGAAAATAAAATAATAACTAAATGAAAATTTCATGTAAACTTAATAGTAAAAATATTTTATTTCCAACTTTGCATCATTTGTCATTATAAGCTTATCATGACACTTATGGCAAATGTACTATCTACTTTTCTCGTGTCGATTACGAGGCACCACCGTGCGCATTCTTCTCGATGGTGGCAGTTCTGACAACTTCATTCAGATGGAGAAGATTCCGAAAAGGAAATCTCAATCCAATCGCTGGGTGAATAACGAGTGAAGAGCTCCTGAATGAATCTTAAAGTATTTTGAGATCTTTATAGCAGATTATTCAATCACTTCCACCCAAGAACATGAACAATTGGGAGAGACGAAGATGTGAGGGCAAGCCAAAAAGTCGTCTAACATGTGATTCGTGAGTACACAAATGATTATAACACTGAAACATAAGTTGCTCGTCATTTAGGTTCATGCCGACTAACATGTCTCATATATCTGACTCGGAATGTTGAAATGTTGTTGATCGTCTCATCACATTAACTTGCTCATTAATTAAATCATTTCTGCGTTCAATGGCGACCACCTGTCTTTCAGCTATGTCAGATAATCGTTGGGTCAATGTATTACCTTAGCCAAGGTAATCTGTAAATGTGTAGAGCCTCGTTGTTAGTTTGTCAAATTGACCTTCCATCACATAAACCATAGGCGTTTTTCTTTTTGTGCCCCGAGATGAAGAGGTTCCACCTGAACCAGTAGACGCAACAGATGGCAATGACTGAGCACCCTCAGCAGGACTGTCGGAACCCATGCGTGGAGGTGATCGATAAGTTGTATCAAATCCTGCATCAAAGCCAAAGTGAAATGGCTGCTCCTCTGGTGTGGGGTCCACATCAACGTTCAAGTCGATTGTTGCCCTTCGAGAACTGATATTCACTCGGGACTGACGCAAATTTCTTGCCATATGTCCAGTGGCTCGATCAGCACCCCACAATTCTTCCATCAAATCATAATACTTTACAGTTGACAGTTTCCATTTAGCTGCAGAAGGTTTCGCCTACAAATTAATGAAAATGGTTAACACTCGTAATTGTTATGTTTTGCTATATCAACAAATGATAATTCATATAATAGTATCTTGATTAGGTCATCCCATACTTCTTGCTCAGCCATAAACCGTTTTGTGATATCATCCCAAGCGAATCCACTAAGTCCATGAAACAAATCGTGGACCTCCCGCCATCTATCCTTAAGACTTTTTTGTCGATTTTTAACATTATTTTTAGTTATACCAATTAATCCAGACTGTTTTAGGGATTCAACTATATTATTATATGCTTGGGTTGTCCAACTACCATCAACCCGATTACCCAACCTTGCCTCATGAAGCATAGCAGTCAACAACCGAAAGTCCATGTCATTAGTCCATTTTGTAAACTCGCGCACTACAGTTGACGAATTCGGTGCAATATCCTTTCCTCTGTTCATTTTAAACCTATTGGAAAGATAATATATGTAATTACGATACCAACATATAATTATTATAAATAGATAATCGTAATGTAATCGTATTTCAACAATAACAATAGTACATCTCATTAAATATATTGTTACATACAAAATCTAATGACTTTGATAATCTATCCACATTTGATTTTCTATAGTATCTCTTAAGTTTGACCCTTCCCTATAATCTTCTTCCCGAACTTGAGTCGACATATTATCCACATCTTATTCCATCAACTCTCGATCCACTTCAGCTAACAGTGATTCATCGTTGTCTATCCCTCGAAGAAAATTGTGTAGAATGCAACATCCCTCGAAGAAAATTGTGTAGAATGCAACATGCTAGGACTATATCTATCATTGTATCAAATGAATAGATTATAATTGATTAGAATTGATTAGTTTTTCAAATAATAGATTATAATTGATTAATTTCTCAAATATACATTAAATTAAAATAAAAAAAATTATTTTTCAATTATATATTATAAAAATTATAATTATATAATTAAAAAAATATATCTATATAATTTTATAATGTTTTATATAAAATTTATAGTTTTAAATATAGTTTTAAAAAGAAGTATGTATTTATTAGATTAATAATATATTTAGAATTATGGTTGAAAGTAGTAAAATATAATTTTTATTTGTATGATTAAATTTTTTACTTTATTTGATATTGTAATATTTTTTTATAAGTGACCCATATATGAATAATTAATTAGAATAAATTAGAATAAATGTTAACCGATCTTATAAATTAATTATATATATATATATATATGCGTAAATTAGAATAATAATTATCAACTTGAAAATAATTTATATGTAATATATATATATATATATATATATATATATATATATAGTGTAAAATATAATTTTATTTTATTTCTATAATATATATATATATATATATATATAAATGAAAATAACTTATAATTTGGAATATATATTTTATATTATAGTAATTAAAATAAATTATATTTTAGATATATATATATATATATATATATATATATATATATATATATATATATTAGTTAGTTTTGCTTTCTTATCAAAATAAAAAAAAATCTATTTAGGATTAGATAGCGGTTGTAGATTTAACCGCTATCTAAAACGTATTTTAGATAAGCGGTTGTACATTTAACCGCTATCTAAAACATGTTTAGATAGCAGTTAACGTGGAACCGCTTATCATATATCAATGTCCAGATGCCCATTCTGATTGATTATATTTGAAATTTTTTTAAATAATTAATTATAATCGATTAGTTTTTTAAATAATTGATTAGAATTGATTAGTTTTTTAAATAATAGATTATAATTGATTAATTTCTCAAATATACATTAAATTAAAATTAAAAAAAAGTATTTTTCAATTATATATTATAAAAATTATAATTATATAATTAAAAAATATATCTATATAATTTTATAATGTTTTATATAAAATTTATAGTTTTAAAAAGAAGTATGTATTTATTAGATTAATAATATATTTAGAATTATGGTTGAAAGTAGTAAAATATAATTTTTATTTGTATGATTAAATTTTTTAAATTTTTTACTTTATTTGATATTGTAATATTTTTTTATAAGTGACCCATATATGAATAATTAATTAGAATAAATTAGAATAAATGTTAACCAATCTTATAAATTAATTATATATATATATATATTTTTTACGTAAATTAGAATAATAATTATCAACTTGAAAATAATTTATATTTAATATATATATATATATATATATATATATAGTGTAAAATATAATTTTATTTTATTTCTATAATATATATATATATATAAATGAAAATAAGTTATAATTTGGAATATATATTTTATATTATAGTAATTAAAATAAATTATATTTTAGATATATATATATATATATATATATATATATATATTAGTTAGTTTTGCTTTCTTATCAAAATAAAAAAAAACTATTTAGGATTAGATAGCGGTTGTAGATATAACCGCTATCTAAAACGTATTTTAGATAGCGGTTTTACATTTAACCGCTATCTAAAACATGTTTAGATAGCGGTTAACGTGGAATCGCTATCATATATCAATGTCCAAGCACCTATTGTGATCGATTAAATTTTCAAATAATCGATTATATTCGAAATTTTTTTCAAATAATTAATTATAATCGATTAGTTTTTTAAATAATTGATTAGAATTGATTAGTTTTTCAAATAATAGATTATAATTGATTAATTTCTCAAATATACATTAAATTAAAATAAAAAAAATTATTTTTCAATTATATATTATAAAAATTATAATTATATAATTAAAAAAATAAATATATATAATTTTATAATGTTTTATATAAAATTTATAGTTTTAAATATAGTTTTAAAAGAAGTATGTATTTATTAGATTAATAATATATTTAGAATTATGGTTGAAAGTAGTAAAATATAATTTTTATTTGTATGATTAAATTTTTTTAATTTTTTACTTTATTTGATATTGTAATATATTTTTATAAGTGACCCATATATGAATAATTAATTAGAATAAATTAGAATAAATGTTAACCGATCTTGTAAATTAATTATATATTTTTTTGCGTAAATTAGAATAATAATTATCAAATTGAAAATAATTTATATTTAATATATATATATAGTGTAAAATATAATTTTATTTTATTTCTATAATATATATATATAAATGAAAATAACTTATAATTTGGAATATATATTTTATATTATAGTAATTAAAATAAATTATATTTTAGAATATATATATATATATATATATATATATATATATATATATATATTAGTTAGTTTTGCTTTCTTATCAAAATAAAAAAAATCTATTTAGGATTAGATAGCTGGTTGTAGATTAAACCGCTATCTAAAACGAATTTTAGATAGCGGTTGTACATTTAACCGCTATCTAAAACATGTTTAGATAGCGGTTAACGTAGAACCGCTATCTACAAAATATTTTATATAGCGGTTCTGGATTTAACCGCTATCTTAAACTTATTTTAGATAGTGGTTACATATATAACCGCTATCTAAAATCTGGATTATTTGCTAAAGTAATCGATTATTTGAAAAATTATATATTTTAAAATATAATTTATTTTAATTTCTATAATATATATATAAATGAAAATAAGTTATATTTTGAAATATATATTTTATATTATAGTAATTAACATAAATTATATTTTCTCAACTTTTTGTAGAGATTCTTAAGAATCTCTCTGCATGCACGCACCAGTGAATCTTGCGAGTGAAGGTAAGTTGGACATTTCAATTTGTCCAGGGGCTTTCATCTCATTTCTTCATGCATCAACGAAGAACCTCTTTCTTCTATCTCCCGCTTTTTCTCGCTTTCATTTCATCGTATTTTTGTTCAATCAAACGTGTGTCATCCTCGTGCTTCTATCTTCCTGAACAGTATATGAGTGAAAACAAAGAGAGCGTTAACGAAGGTTGAATACTCTTTCATGTCCTTGAAAGTATATAAGAGTTTTTGTTTAGTCCTAAAAGAATTGAAATGTAAAAGTATCCCAATTTAAGATTTGTGATTCACTTTGGTCCTGAGATGAATGACGTTAACTAACAGTGTCGTTGCCGACGTGGTTTGGATTACAGGATGGGCATGCGGGAGTAGAAGGGGTGGATTTGAAAGAAAAAAAAATTGGTTAGAAATGAAATAAAAGTTTTTAAATAATGTAATTTATTTAATAAATTAAAAAATTAAGATTTAATTGATAGAATGGATAGATTA